TCCCCAGGCGGCTTGATCCAGACCAGAGCGTCAACTGCCAGCAGGGCAAGCAAGGTGTGTGCCAAAGGAACGGAGCCTCGTGAGTCAAGTAGAATCGCTGGGACAGAACAGAAAAATGAACCAAACACGCAGAATGCTGGTAGTGATACCAAGTGCTCACCTTGCGGAGCACTTCCGGGATTCGCCTCGGGGCGCTGTCCGATCCCCGCGCCCTTCACGTTGCACCACGACCCCCAGCGGTTGCGAATGCCAGCGCGGCCGGACCGGCTGGTATCCACGATCCACCTGGTCGGCAATCCCAAGGCTCCCAGGTACGCATTCATGCGTGCGGTGAATCGGTACTCGTCGATGCACGGGTTCCAGTCGTAGTTAGTCTCGCCCGTGCTCGGGTTCTTCACGAGCGGGCATTTCTCCAAGGCGGGACAGACGGAGGGTAAGAGCGGGAGGATCCTCGCGAAGAGCGGGCTGTAGTTGGCCACGTTGGACGCGAAGCCGCGGATCTTGGCGTTCGCGCGGATCTGCCGCGCGCGCGCGAGGACCTTCATGTACACCGCCACCACGCGCTTCATTCCCTCCGGCCACCCTGCTCACGCGACGGGGGAAGGTGGTGTGGGGGGGAAGCGTGAAGTCAAGCAACGGAGTAGATTGCAGCATTGGACTGAATCGCACGGGCGTAAGCGCGGCACACGCACTCACCGAGCCAGCCGCCGAAGCCGGAGTCGAGATAGAGCGTGGTGTCGGGGATCTGCGAGAGCTCCGCGATGGCATACGCAACGCCCTCCGTGTACTCCTTATCCGTCGTCGCGTCGCACCGATTCATCCCCATGTTCGTCGCGATGTTGGGCAGCGAGTCGGGCTCGATCACGAGCGACAGACGCACGTTCGCCGCCTTGTTTTTCAGGCGCGACACGGCGACATCGATGTATTTGGCCTTGTACGTGTCAATCCCGCCCTTGGGAATCTCCCCATTGGACGACCACGCCTTGCAGTCGCGGCCCGGGAGGTCGTAGATCACGAATTGCACGAGGATCGCCTTCCCGCCCGCCTGAGCCGCTGCGTCGTCAAGATGGCCGGGGATGGAATCTAGGGACGCCATCGTGTCGAGCCACACGGCCGTCGGATTCTCCGCCACGCTCGCGAAAAACGGCGCATCCTCGCGAGTCGCGGCGAGCATCGCGGATTTCACGCTCGCCGCATACCCGCGGTTGAGATACTGCTGGACTCCCGTGTACGGGTTGCCAGTCGCGCTGTCGCCGACGCGGTAACCGCACGACGTGCCAGTGGCGGCGACCAGTTCAGTCGCGTTAATCGCCCCCTTGAGCCAGCACGTCCCGCCGTTGAAGGCGCTCCACGTGAAGTGCGTGCAATCCGCGCGGCTGAGGCACTGCGGTCCGCAGGTCTCGCCCATGCCGGCGGTTCGGCCAATGTCGTTGCCCTTCCAGTCGCAGTTGAGCGACCACTGTACTTTCCCGGCCTCGGAGCTTGAGAAGTCAAATGCTGACGTGGCTATCACTGAGAGATTGAGAGTCACCAGCACTACCACTAGTACTACGGGTGCCAATGTAGTCGAAAGGAAACTCGCGGCCACCATCGTTTCGGCTGGTTGACAGGAGGGAGTGAGAGAGATACAGAAAACTCACGGCGGGTCCGTCCCTTTTGAACGCTTGGGCGAAGTCGGACTGCGGCTCGGATCGCATCCGCGGCAAGTACAGATCGAGTCGCCTCCATCGTTCTACTTTGGCGACGTACGGTCCGAGGCATGTATCCTGACGATTATTGGTGTCTTCTCGGCTTAGTGTTGTGACACCAATGATTGTTGCTCTGGGTAGCATGTGCCGCAATGCACTCTCTCACTAAGTGCTCCGCAAGTCACGCAATGCACCCTCCTACAATAAGTGACCCTCATGGCGTAAGGAATCTCTTGGCAGATCTGTAAGAAGTGGACCCAAGCGCAAATCCGCTTATCGTCCTATATGGCGCGGCTTTTCGTGTTTACCATTTTGGAATGTAACCCACCAACAAATGTGGGGAACACCCTCGATGGTGATCGCAAAGTTTGCCCGGATTTGACTTCGCGGTCTTCGTCGAACTACTTACAGCTGCTCGTCCGCGTTTCGCCGTGCACCCCTGACCCGCCGCGCATACACACATGTAATTGAACGGGGGCGACAGACATATCGCCAGTCGTCGCGAACCGAGAGCGATGTTACCCACGTCACAAACAAACCAACTCAGACTTCATAAGCAGCACCTAAATGACTGTCTGATTCATTAGGAAATCATCCATGGCGGCCCTTGTCCCTTCCCTTGCGTCGACGAGTCCTTCGGAAATGATACGTATTACATTGTCTCGCCATTTCAGACCCATACGCTAGCGGTTCGGTTCGACAATTGCCATCAATTACTGAATTATTACTTGTCAACTCCCACGTAGCTTGTTATGCATCGTCGACTTCTGGAATCGAGCCGTGCATCGTACGGCAGTCACGAGATGCTTATTACGAGCCGAACAAATCATGCATCCGCGGAAGGTGATAGAAGTTGGTCGAAAACACAGCGATCGACAATTTCGACTAGGAAACAACCGCGTGATTTGCGGCGTGACTTGCGGCATGACCTGCTTGGATAATAAGGTCATTCCTTCAACAATGCGCCTTCCATTGTCACTCACTCGTAGTTTCTCTATGTCCGCACACACGCGCGCTTTCCGTCTCATTTCCTCTGCTCCCCCTCCCGCCCCCCAACCCCGTGCTTGCGCCATCAGCTGCGCGAGGCGATTCTCCCCCTGTTTCTCACCCGCGCCCCATCTCCGTGCGCGCACGTGCAGGTGGGGCTGAGCGAGGAGCAGCGGCGGGCGGCGTGGGAGGAGCAGCACGAGCGGGGCGCGGAGATACTGCACTCGCTCTGCACCCACATGCAGGGCTTCTTCCTCAAGGTATAACCACTGCATCCACGCTCACGCACGTGACTCTACGTCACCAGTGCACGCACACGCAGGGTTGTTAAGGGCTTTTTTCTCAAGATACCCTCACTGTAGGGTTGTTACCTCTCAAGGTACCCCCGCTGTAGGGTTGTTACCTCTCAAGGTACCCCCGCTGTAGGGTTGTTACCTCTCAAGGTACCCCCGCAGCAGCCATGCTCACGCACGTGAATCTAGTTTTTTAGTTCGCCTGTGCGCCGCCAATAGACACGTGGCTGATGTGACTCACGGGCGTGCGAAGCGAATTCAGCCACTTGCGCAGCCTCAGGCTGATGACTCTCTTCACTTGCGCAGCCTCAGGCTGATGACTCTCTTCACTTGCGCAGCCTCAGGCTGATGACTCTCTTCACTTGCGCAGCCTCAGGCTGATGACTCTCTTCACTTGCGCAGCCTCAGGCTGATGACTCTCTTCACTTGCGCAGCCTCAGGCTGATGACTCTCTTCACTTGCGCAGCCTCAGGCTGATGACTCTCTTCACTTGCGCAGCCTCAGGCTGATGACTCTCTTCACTTGTGCACCGAGACGTGCAGGTTCTCCCTCAACGTACTGCCGCAGCAGCCATGCTCAGTCTCGGGAGTTCAGGCACGTGACTCTATTAGTTCGCCTGTGCACGCACATGCAGGCCTTCTTCCCTCTTCCCTTTTCTTCCTTCCTTCTTCCCCCTTCCCTCTTCCCCCTTCCCCCTTCCCTCTTCCCCTTTCCCTCTTCCCCCTCCCCTCTTTCCCCCCCCTCTTCCCCCTTCACCGTTCCCCCTTCCCCCTTCCCTTTTCCCTCTTCCCCCGTCCTTTCCCTCTTCCCTCGTCAACCTCTCCTCTTCCCGCTTACCAGTTCCCTCTTCTGTCATCTTTCTTTTCCCTTTAACCCGATTATAGCATGGGTAGGACGGACAGGGTGGATAGATAAAGTGGGTGGGGCGGATATGTTTGAGAAAGTGGGTGAGGCGGATGTGTGAGAGGGGGCCCTGTTTTCCGACACTGTAATCAGCCTTATCCGAGAGGGGCGGATGTGTGAGAGGGGCGGATGTGTGAGAGAGGCGGATGTGTGAGAGGGTCGGATGTTTGAGAATGTGGGTGGGGCGGATATGTTGCACAAAGTCCCAGACACCCTTCCCTGCCACACGGAGCAGAGGGCCCGGCAGTGGACGGGCACCTGAAGCACTACGTGCCGGCACCCTCCTTTTCTCCCCATCCCCCCGCACTTTCTGGTCTCTTCCCCTCTCCTCCCCCCTCCAGCTGTTGCTCAAAGTCCCCCAAAGTGCCCCCTCTCCATCCCTGCCTCATGGGACAGGGGGCCGGCTCCATCCCTCTCCTCTCACATAGAGTGACAACCACCCCAGTTTGAAGCAGCACGTGCTTTCGTCCTCCTCCCCCCTCGTCTTTCTCCCTCTCCTCCCCCCCAGCTGCTGGACATGGACATAGGCACGGACGCGTGTGGAGTGGAGGGGCCAGCAGTGGGTGGGCGGGCATCTGAAGCAGCACGTGTGTGGCACGCTGGATCAAGCTTGATCCAACAGCACACTTTCTGCCACTTTTAAGCAGCACGCGCTTGTGTTGAGAAGGTGCCATCAGGTGGTTCACGCAGTGTGAGCTGCTGTAGCAGCTGAGCCGTACATGTGCTCTGAAGAACATACTTCTGGGGAAGCAAACTTCATGTTCAACTGCTCCTGCAGCTGAAAAGGTGTTTCTACTCTGCTCTCTCAGAGCACTGTTTCATTGTGTCTGGTTTGCTGTGTCATCACGTTGTTTTGTGCGCATCTTGTAGCTGGGTTGGAAGCATGTATATCCCAAACAAATACAGCATGCAAACAAGGAATTGGCCTAGCACTAACTGACCAGCTCAAACACATGTACCAGTACAACAATCACTTGCCACACAGTCCGAGCCCTTCCATGTCAAATTTCCATATAACATGCCATGTGCCACAAGGAGTAGCACTTACTCAGCCAGCAATATCCCTGAACATCACAAGCAGCGCTCACCCCAGCCCCTTAGCATCAAACGGCCTCACACAACTCTCCCCTCAACGAGAGATCGGCTGCACCACAAGGGGGGAGCGCACGCTGTGACCCTGGTCGTCAGCCCAGACTATGAACCCATACTTGAAGTCATTACTGGGTGTATCAACCGTGAACGTCAGCGTGTAGCTCGCCTTCTCCCCGGGAGCCAGCGTGAGGGTCTTAGTCGACACACCCACCTTCACCCCCTGCGGCGCCTTCCCAGATACACTGTATGTGGACCGGGACTGCCCCACGTTGGTGACGGTGCGGGTGACCTGCAGGGAGCCCTGCAGGCGAGGCAGAGTGATGGTGGGCAGGTTGAGGTTCCGAACAGCCAGAGGAGAGAGCGACACCCCTGGGAACTCCTTTTTGGCGCGGTTGAGGTCCTGCCCGGCCAGGAAGTTCTGGTAGTCGCGGTCGCGGGCGTCGTAAGTAAGCCCGGGGTCGAGCATGGCCGGGGGGAACACGTGGCCTGCGCCCATCTCCCACGGGGTGGCCTCCCCGCCTGTCGCACTCTTGATCGGGCTCTTGCTCGTGTCCGTCACCCGTGCCGTCGTCATCAGTGCTGACATCACCTGCGCCGGGGTCCAGTTGGGGTACTTCTGGATGATTAAAGCGGCTAGCCCGGCTAAATGCGGAGTGGCCATGGAAGTGCCCGACATGCGCGCGAGAGCGCCGGTTTCACCGGGTTTCTTCCCGGGAGCAGCGGCTACGAGGTCCACTGCGGGGCCGATGATGTCGGGCTTTAAGATGGCGTTGCCTGGCTTGGGCGGCTGGGCCGTGGCGGACGGCTGCAGCAGGGGGCCGCGGGAAGAGAAGTCAGCCACCACCGGGGCGGAGGAGGATGCAGTCGTGAACGTGATGCCGCCATCCGCAGTCAGAACGGTGCTGCTGCCGTCCGTACCATCAGTGCTGTTGCTGCCGCCGGTGCCGTTGCAGCTGATGTTGCTGTTTGGGCTGGCGCTGAGAGCGAGCGACTGAGCACCGGCAGTAGAGGAGGCGAGGGAGGCGCCGCCTCGGGCGATGGTGCTGGCGCCAACGGTGAGGTAGAACGGGGCGAAGTTGTCCAACGTGCGGAAGAACCCACCACGCCCGGGTGGCCCGGCGTTGCCGGCAGCAAAGGCGACAAACACCCCGGCAGCATTGGCACGCATGAAAGCGAGGTCGTTGAAATAGTTGTCGTCGGGATTCACGCCGCCCAGAGACAGCGACAGCACATCCACACCGTCCGCCACGCCCTGATTGACGGCTGCGATGATGTCTGATTCCGTCGCGTACATGTCCCCGTTGCCGTCCGTCCAGAAGACCTTGTACGCCGCAATGCGCGCTGCCGGCGCCATGCCGCTCACCTGCCCGCCTCCTTGCACCTTCACGGGGTTCCCCGCGGCCGCCCCCGCGCACCACGTGCCATGGCCGTCCGCATCTCGCGGCGTGAGCCAGTCGTTGCTCAACACGGGCCGGCCGCTGCTCTGCTGGAAACCGGCATAGAAGGCCTTGGCGCCGATCACCTTGTTGTTGCACCGGAACGAGCTCGACTGCTCGCACTTGCCCTTCCACCCCGCGGGCAGCTGCGCGGATAGGCCCTTATCGCTGAAGGACGGGTGTTCGGGCCAGATACCCGTGTCCACGATCCCCACCACCGTGCCCTCGCCCGCCTTGCTCTGACCGCCCATTGCCGGCCACACCTTCCCGGGCAGCCCCAGGAACTGCGGCGAGTCGGTCGTCTGCCGGCGAAACACGCGGCTGGCGCGGACGGACGCCACGGCGGGGTTGCGCCGCAGCCGCCACAGCTGGCGCGGCGTGAGGCGCGCGGCGAAGCCGTTGGACGTGTGCTTGTAGCTGTAGAGCAGCCCGTCTTCAGGTAAGCCCGCCTCAGATGCCACCTGCGCCTGCTGCCGCTGCAGCAGCCCCGCGAACGCCGCCACCTGGGGGCGGTCCATGCTCAGACTCAGCCGGTGTCGCGGGCACCCGCCGCCGCCGTTACGACCGCCGTTACCGTTGCCGTTACCGCCGCGACCGCCGCGAGCGTTGGGAGTGGAGGCGGCGTCAGATGTGGCGTTTGGGGGTGGCGTGGGCACAGTTCCGTTTGAAAGGGGTGTCGTGTCGTCCAAATCGACGGACTCGTCGCCTGCGGCGGCGGCGGAATCGCCGACGGGGAGGATCATCTGCGGCACGGCGTCGCTGTCGCCCTCCTCGTCGCTGCCGTCGTCCCACGTGGCCGTCGCGGGGTAGCCCGCGATTCCGCCGCGGTATTCGGAGAGGGGAGGCGCGGTACTCAGGCGGACGATGTAGACCGCGGAGCTATCCGCTGCTGGCGTCGCGAATTTGCCGGAGTTTTCCCTGGAGGGAGCCGCGAGGTGCGCATCATTGTCGCCGCCGTTGCGCCATGCGCGGTTCAGGTTTCGCCAAACGGATTCGCGGCTTGCACTGGATGGCTGTGCCGCAAGGAGGAATGCGGCCAGAAGCAGTAGCATCGCAATCGCGGGACCGTCCCTCATGGCGATACTTAGCTTTCGGCGGGCAGGTTGCTTTGAACGGTGCCTGAAACGGTTGCCTGCAGACGTTTGTTGGCCTAAAACTAGCAGTAGTAGCAGAACAAGTAGAAGGAACGGATGTCGAATTTGCTTTGAATGCTGCTGGAAGGCTTGAATTGTGATGGTGGTCCCACGGGTTGATGCTTCATTTTGTACTCACCGCTCTCATACGGAGTGGCACATTTGGGTGAGTTGGGGGCGTCGTCGCGCCGCAATGCACCTGCCTGGATGGTCAGAAATTGCATGAGGTCTGAAGATATGGGGCAGGTGAGCGAATTCTCGGACTTGCCTGCGGCTTTGGTTGCACCATGCATGGTTCACCAGTTTTCGCGAAACATGACATGAGGTACATCAGAGCACTGTGTTACGGCCTGGGGCCTCTGGAAGTCGACCACTTTTTCGCACATACTTTCGCATCGCTCACACTTCTTCTGGTTACCCAGTGCACATCCGTGACGGGCACTTGAAGCTTGGTCCAGTGCATTTCGGTACTATGCGTAGCTAGCAATGCGGCGCGGGTCAGTCCGAGCGTGCATGAGACGGGAACAGACCCAGCGCATGGGAGTTTGTGGTTACCAGCACTTGCGTTTTCGCTCAGACCACCGGTCCCAGGAAATTTCGTTCCAAAGAAAGTTCGAAGTGCTAGTTGCGTTGAAGCGGGTCTGTCATTGGTCATGCGAAAGTCGCAGAAGTCAACTGGCAGGAAGCAGGGAAGGCCGCAGGGACAGCTGGGAGGGATGGACATTAACAATCTGATCCTTTATTGGCTTTAGTTCGGTTATTGAACATTCACAGCACATCATTGACTCACTAAAGTCAGTGACAGCTTTGGCCTATTGGGCTGTGGCTCGATAACCTCAATGTGCACAGTCAGTCTCCATTCCTTTGGATCAATAGTGAGTACAGTACACAACCTGATCATTTATTGGCTATATTTTGGTTATTGGCCATTCGCATCATTGGCTCACTAACGTCAGTGACAGCTTGGGCCGATTGGGCTGCGGCTCAATGACCTCAATGTGCACAGTCACTGTATCCAACACCTTAAATCGCCGCTTCCCGTCTTTCGACTCCACCGTCTGCGACTTCTCATCCACCACCCAGTCACTAGATGGTGCATTCCCATCGAGCTTGTTGGCAGCAGCAACTGCAGCAGCTTTCCCCTTGGGAGGTTCCTTGGGTACGAGATAGACTGGTCCCTCGATGCCATACCTAGAATTGAGCACAGAAAGGGAAAGTGCACCACACAGGTTGTGCAGCAGGTGTGAGTTGTGCAAACACAGAACAACACAGAAAGCGTCGTTTTTGTACACAACATGAACACAGAAATTTTCGAGGGGAAAAAATAATAATGACAGAAAACAAATAAAAGGAGTGTTGCTTACTTGGGCACGAAGACGATCAGCCCATTGGAGCGGACCATCACTATCCGACCCTCCGCATCCGTTGGGCTGGCGAGAAAGTGATGAGAGGAGACGGACAGGTTAGAGAGAACAGCGGTAAGTACGTGAGAGAACGAGGGCGAAAGAAATAGACCAAATTTGCAAGACAAGAGACGTTCTGTGCACGAGAAGCATGGGAAGATGAATGCAGGAAGAAGAAGAAGGTGTGTAGGAAAGGTAGTAATGGTAAGAAGGACACGCTGACAGCTCACCGAGTGCGGAAGAATATGAGCGTGTGAAGCTCCACTGATGCTCGCCCCGCCATCTGAGCATTGCGGTTGCGATAGTTGAGGTCTGGCACATTGTGACGGGAGTGTGGGGAGAGGGGTTGAGAAAAACGAGAAGTAGGGAGGAGTGAGGGAACCAGGCGAAGACAAGGAAGTGTGTCGCGAGAGAGGGAGGCATGAGGTGAGGAGGAGGGGTAGAAGCAACAAGAGGGAGAGGAGAAGGTCAGCTTTCCAACATGTTTTTTGACACAGCTATCCAAAGGTCAGCACGTTGGTCTGACTCTGACACATGACGACTTTTGCCATCAGTCACCTGGATCTTTCATGCAAAGTCTGCATAAGCACATACTACGCAAATTGCTGCCTGCTGTTTCTATGTGCTGTCAATGCCTCGTGTTGTACTGACTCCATATCACAGAAGCGGGAATTCACCGGGAGGAAACCACACTAACGTGGTAATGAGAGAGACAACGGGAGTGTGGACAGAATTTCCTGCTACGGCGTTGGTGCTTACTGTCAGTGAGGGCGGTGAGAGCAGTCTTATCCTTGGTCTGATCCGGCAGCGGTGTCAACCCTATGGCTGCAGCCAGCAGGCGATGCACCACCACGTCTGGTTGGGCATGGATGAATTCACAGTCAGAGGGGAGAGGGGCGGCAGAGGACGGGGAGATTTTGAGGCGCCTTAAATGGCAGCAATGTCAATCCGATGGCTGCGATGCAGGCGATGTACCACCACGTCTGCCTGCATGGGCGTTGGCACATTCAAGAGGGTGGGCACAGGGCGAAAGTGGAAGGTTGATTTGCCCCATACAGGTGAGAGGAGCGGAGAGGATCGAGAGGAGGGGGAGGGAGAGGTGGCAAGAGCAGTGGAGATCCGACGATAGCAGGGGAGAAATGTGGAAGGGAGATGAAGGTAAGAGAGGTGAAGTTAGGGGAGAGGAAAGGACACGTGGCACCACTTGCCTCACCAGCGTAGCAGTGGAAGGAAGAGGTGAAGTGAGTGCATATGGGACCTGCCAGCTCGTAGTGGTGGTGGCACTTTGGAGGGCACTTTCTCTAACGCTCAAAGTCCAGGCGCCAAGTGTCTCACCAGCGTAGCGACGGATGGGGGAAGTGAAGTGGGTATAGATGGGGGCTGCGAGGCCGTAGTGGTGGTACTCTGCAGGGGCCAGCTGGCCGCTGGGAAAATACACCGCCTGGGGAAGCATGGGGGCATGGTGGGTTGGGGGGGGGTAAGGGGCAAAGACACGGATGGGGGAGGGGTGGGGTGGGCTGTGTGTGTGAAAGTGAGAGAGCGGGGGCACTAATATGGGCTGCGAGGCCGCAGTGGTGGTACTCTGCAGGCGCCAGCTGACCGCTGGGGCAATACACGGCCTGGGGAAGCATGGGGAAAGGGGGAACATGAAAAGGTTGGAGGGAGGAGAAGTAAGTCGATTATCAAAAGGGGGAACATGAAAGGATTGGAAGGGTCTTCAGCAATCTGCATGAGCAATCTTCAGCACCCTAGCTAGCCCCATGCGCGCACCTATGGTATTATCAAGCATGAGTGTTGGCTTTTACCTGAGTCATGCACGTGTGTAGCACATTTTCTTTCTCATGCCATGCATGCATGTCCCTTCACTGCACATCCTAGTGAGCTCGCACCTGAGTCATGCAGCGAGTGGTGAGGATGCGGGTGAGATTGTTGAAATAGGGGCCAGGGCCCTGCGAGAACACAGAGGTGCATACCTTGCATCCTTTCATGTCCCTTCACCACACATCTCTGTCACCTCCCACCTGAGTCATGCAGCGAGTGGTGAGGATTCGGATAAGCTTGTTAAAGTAGGGGTCAGGGCCCTGTGGGGAGAGAGGAGCACACAACGGGATGAAGAGGAGGAGAAGAGTGGTTGAGAGCTGGTTGGTTGAAACGGCTCCACACAGGTCACAGCGGGGCGAGTGGTGAGGATGCGGATGAGCTTGTTAAAGTAGGGGTCTGGGCCCTGTGGGGGGAGAGAGGAGCACACAGACCGGTCGAGAGAGGGAGAAGACTTTTGAGACGGCTCGACATAGGTCCCTGTAGAGAAAGTGAGGTTCGAGAAATGAGAGGAAAAGGTGAACGGTGCAGAGAGGGCAATGATGAGAGTAGCAATGACGACAGGGGGATCGAGATTTCTCATTACAAGCAATTCAGCTGCATGGTCAAGCGAGTCAAGCAGCTCACCACAGCGCGGTCAAGCGAGTCAAGCAGCTCACCACAGAGCGGTCAAGCGAGTCAAGCAGCTCACCACAGAGCGGTCAAGCGAGTCAAGCAGCTCACCACAGAGCGGTCAAGCGAGTCAAGCAGCTCACCACAGCGCGGTCAAGCGAGTCAAGCAGCTCACCACAGCGCGGTCAAGCGAGTCAAGCAGCTCACCACAGCGCGGTCAAGCGAGTCAGCAAGATTCTTGGAGGAGGAGGTGTCAACTGCAATCCCCACCGCCTCTGCTGTGCGCAGCAGCGGCTCAAACATGTTGGGCGATGGGGTGGGGTGCCGCCTGTGTGAGAGAGCAACAGGGTAGGGAGAGGAACGAGAAGGAGAGGAGCAGGTGAGCGGTTTGCGAGTGTTGCTCATAACTGCAATCCCCACCGCCTCTGCTGTGCGCAGCAGTGGCTCAAACATGTTGGGCGACGGGGTGTGGTGCCGCCTGTTGTGGGTGGCAAGGGTTCGGTGGGTGGAAGAGGAAGTGGTATGGTCACGACCCATGACAATCCCAATGGTGCGTTTCAAAAGTCAACTTAGAACCAGCAGCAGCTCTAACATGTTGGGCGAAGGGGTGTGGTGCTGTGCTGCCTGTGTGGGAAATTCACCTAAGATTTCACCTGAGAGCCCCCTGAAGAATTACCTGAGCAGCGAGCAGGAGGCGAAGTGCTGGAGGATCTTGTCAGCTACGGACACATTGGCTGCCAGCATGAACTCCTCTATCATGTGGTTGGCCTCCCGCACCAGGTACATGCCTGGAGAAGGGGAGGGGAATGGGGGGACGAGTGAGTGGCAGAGAGAGGCAGAGAGGAAGATTAGGGGCGGGGGCCTGATAGCATGGCAGCATCAACTCCTCTATGTGGTTGGCCTCTCGCACCAGGTACATGCCCTAAAAGGACAGTGAGAGGGAAGAAAGGGGGAAAGAGTGCAATGACAGATGCAGGGAAGGGTGGCGACGGCAGGGGGTGGGAGACTGGGGAAACGGGCGTGTGGATGCGACTAATGCGAGGAATGGCATGCAGAGGGGCAAGAAGGGTCGTACCAACGTCGAGGGGGTCGTGTGTCTCGGTGTCGATCTCAAACTTGACTTCCGGTGATGCCAGGGTGAGTGCTCCCCTGTCTATGCGCCGCTGCCTCATCACCTGGCGTGGGCACGGGGGGATGGGGGTGAGTGGGTATGGTGTGGTGTGGGTATGGTATGGTGTGGTTTGTTATGGTGTGGTGTGGTCTGCAGTGGTGTGGTGTATTGTGGTATGGTATGGTATGGTATGGCATGGTAGGGTATGCTAAACTATGCTATGCTATGGCATCGTGTGGCATGGAATGCTATAGCATGACATGGCATCACACCTTGGCAAGGCGGTTGAGGTTGCGAAGGTCCCTTGTGAGGTCATCATGCATGCGCCTGATGCCATGGTGACGTCAGCAGAGGGTGGGGAGAGGGTTGGAAGGGGATAGGAAGGCGTTAGAAGAAGAGGGAGGCAGCATGCCAGCTGGGATTGGATGCAAAAAGGGGGGTGGTGATTCACTGTAAAGCATTCAGGCACATGGGATGCAACAGGGGGGCGAGGAGATGGGAGCATGGCAGGCAACTATCATCATACACACACATGCCACCACAGCGCTAATACTCAGGGACTACTCATGCAAAGAACACCCCATGCATGGCCATACTCACAAGCCATCTGTGACTTCCAGCCAGGCTGCTATCCATACATCCCTAACAGGTCGCACACTCTGACACTCCATCCTTCACACTCACTCATCATCCATGCGAGCCTGTGCCTCCACATAGGACAGCGCAGCAGCAGATTTGATAACACTCTTGGTGAATCGCACCGATACGATTTCTGCTTCACAAGTCATCTCCTGGTCGGATGTGGCATGGCATGTGGGTATGGGATGTGATGTGGGATGTGCATACATGCGTATCCTGGACGCGAATGCGTTAGGAGAGAGCAAGCAGCCAGCACCACTAGAGCGGCAGCAGCTACAGCAGAACCAACAGCAGCACCAACGGCAGCACTAACAGCGCACGAGCAGCAGCGGCAGCACTGACCCAAATACAGGAGAAGGCCAGTCGCTCCACACCGCCACGTAGGGAGCAGATGTCTGTATGGGGGGTTGAGGCGAGGGGTGGAAGGTGAGGTGAGGCGAGGTGGGGCAAAGTAGGAGGGGTGAGTGAAGAGTAGGACAAGGTGAGACAGGTGTGAGAAGGTTTGACCAAAAGGCATGAGCAGGGTAAGGAGCAGGAGACGTTGGCAAGTCGCTTCACACCGCCACGTAGGGAGCAGATGTCTGGCGAGGGGAGGCGATGGGTGAGGTGAGGCCGGGGTGAGGCAAGGTGAGGCAGAGTGGGAGGGAGGGTGTGAGTTAGAAGTAGTAAGGAGTGGAACAATCTGGCCAAAAGGCATAAGGAGGTAAGAAACAGGTTAGCTTGGTGCATGCATGCATGAACGGTTGACGATGGGAATGTCGTGTGCAGAATGCGACGAGATCAATACGCAGACCGTTCGTCCCTAAAGAGGAACGATATGACCCGTCCCACCATCATCATATCGTTCCTCTTTACCTTCGTCCTGACCCTCACTTTCCCACCTTCAGTCAAGGGCTTGGGCAGCATGTCTATGCGGCGCTCCACCAGGTACACGGACGTGCCTCGCTGCAAGACCATGCACATTCCCAATCAGCCTCCTTCTCACCGTTCCACCTATTGTGAGCCGCTTCTGCAGATTTTGTCCTGCATACCTTCAGTCAAGGGCTTGGGCAGCATGTCAATGCGGCGCTCCACGAGATACACAGATGTGCCGCGCTGCGATGCCTCCACGTCCAGTGGCGTGCCCGGTAGCACAAAGTTGGTCACATCCGCTATGTCTGCACAGGTGGGCAGGCGGGACAGATGGGGTTGAAGGGAGGGTGCAGCTGGGGCAACATGATGCGTTGAGGCGTGCTGGGCGGCACAAGGTTAGTCACGTCTGCTATGTCTGCACAGATGGGCAGGACAGATGGGGGCAGAGACAGATGAATCCAACAGGAGAATGGCTGGGACACTCAACATGTGCTGGTGAGTGCATGTGCTGGTGAGTGCATGTGCTGGTGAGTGCATGTGCTGGTGAGTGCATGTGCTGGTGAGTGCATGTGCTGGTGAGTGCATGTGCTGGTGAGTGCATGTGCTGGTGAGTGCATGTGCTGGTGAGTGCATGTGCTGGTGAGTGCATGTGCTGGTGAGTGCATGTGCTGGTGAGTGCATGTGCTGGTGAGTGCATGTGCTGGTGAGTGCATGTGCTGGTGAGTGCATGTGCTGGTGAGTGCATGTGCTGGTGAGTGCATGTGCTGGTGAGTGCATGTGCTGGTGAGTGCATGTGCTGGTGAGTGCATGTGCTGGTGAGTGCATGTGCTGGTGAGTGCATGTGCTGGTGAGTGCATGTGCTGGTGAGTGCATGTGCTGGTGAGTGCATGTGCTGGTGAGTGCATGTGCTGGTGAGTGCATGTGCTGGTGAGTGCATGTGCTGGTGAGTGCATGTGCTGGTGAGTGCATGTGCTGGTGAGTGCATGTGCTGGTGAGTGCATGTGCTGGTGAGTGCATGTGCTGGTGAGTGCATGTGCTGGTGAGTGCATGTGCTGGTGAGTGCATGTGCGGGTGAGTGCATGTGCTGGTGAGTGCATGTGCTGGTGAGTGCATGTGCTTGGTGAGTGCATGTGCTGGTGAGTGCATGTGCTGGTGAGTGCATGTGCTGGTGAGTGCATGTGCTGGTGAGTGCATGTGCTGGTGAGTGCATGTGCTGGTGAGTGCATGTGCTGGTGAGTGCATGTGCTGGTGAGTGCATGTGCTGGTGAGTGCATGTGCTGGTGAGTGCATGTGCTGGTGAGTGCATGTGCTGGTGAGTGCATGTGCTGGTGAGTGCATGTGCTGGTGAGTGCATGTGCTGGTGAGTGCATGTGCTGGTGAGTGCATGTGCTGGTGAGTGCATGTGCTGGTGAGTGCATGTGTGCTGGTGAGTGCATGTGCTGGTGAGTGCATGTGCTGGTGAGTGCATGTGCTGGTGAGTGCATGTGCTGGTGAGTGCATGTGCTGGTGAGTGCATGTGCTGGTGAGTGCATGTGCTGGTGAGTGCATGTGCTGGTGAGTGCATGTGCTGGTGAGTGCATGTGCTGGTGAGTGCATGTGCTGGTGAGTGCATGTGCTGGTGAGTGCATGTGCTGGTGAGTGCATGTGCTGGTGAGTGCATGTGCTGGTGAGTGCATGTGCTGGTGAGTGCATGTGCTGGTGAGTGCATGTGCTGGTGAGTGCATGTGCTGGTGAGTGCATGTGCTGGTGAGTGCATGTGCTGGTGAGTGCATGTGCTGGTGAGTGCATGTGCTGGTGAGTGCATGTGCTGGTGAGTGCATGTGCTGGTTGAGTGCATGTGCTGGTGAGTGCATGTGCTGGTGAGTGCATGTGCTGGTGAGTGCATGTGCTGGTGAGTGCATGTGCTGGTGAGTGCATGTGCTGGTGAGTGCATGTGCTGGTGAGTGCATGTGCTGGTGAGTGCATGTGCTGGTGAGTGCATGTGCTGGTGAGTGGCATGTGCTGGTGAGTGCATGTTGCTGGTGAGTGCATGTGCTGGTGAGTGCATGTGCTGGTGAGTGCATGTGCTGGTGAGTGCATGTGCTGGTGAGTGCATGTGCGGTGAGTGCATGTGCTGGTGAGTGCATGTGCTGGTGAGTGCATGTGCTGGTGAGTGCATGTGCTGGTGAGTGCATGTGCTGGTGAGTGCATGTGCTGGTGAGTGCATGTGCTGGTGAGTGCATGTGCTGGTGAGTGCATGTGCTGGTGAGTGCATGTGCTGGGTGAGTGCATGTGCTGGTGAGTGCATGTGCTGGTGAGTGCATGTGCTGGTGAGTGCATGTGCTGGTGAGTGCATGTGCTGGTGAGTGCATGTGCTGGTGAGTGCATGTGCTGGTGAGTGCATGTGCTGGTGAGTGCATGTGCTGGTGAGTGCATGTGCTGGTGAGTGCATGTGCTGTGAGTGCATGTGCTGGTGAGTGCATGTGCTGGTGAGTGCATGTGCTGGTGAGTGCATGTGCTGGTGAGTGCATGTGCTGGTGAGTGCATGTGCTGGTGAGTGCATGTGCTGGTGAGTGCATGTGCTGGTGAGTGCATGTGCTGGTGAGTGCATGTGCTGGTGAGTGCATGTGCTGGTGAGTGCATGTGCTGGTGAGTGCATGTGCTGGTGAGTGCATGTGCTGGTGAGTGCATGTGCTGGTGAGTGCATGTGCTGGTGAGTGCATGTGCTGGTGAGTGCATGTGCTGGTGAGTGCATGTGCTGGTGAGTGCATGTGCTGGTGAGTGCATGTGCTGGTGAGTGCATGTGCTGGTGAGTGCATGTGCTGGTGAGTGCATGTGCTGGTGAGTGCATGTGCTGGTGAGTGCATGTGCTGGTGAGTGCATGTGCTGGTGAGTGCATGTGCTGGTGAGTGCATGTGCTGGTGAGTGCATGTGCTGGTGAGTGCATGTGCTGGTGAGTGCATGTGCTGGTGAGTGCATGTGCTGGTGAGTGCATGTGCTGGTGAGTGCATGTGCTGGTGAGTGCATGTGCTGGTGAGTGCATGTGCTGGTGAGTTGCTGGTGAGTGCATGTGCTGGTGAGTGCATGTGCTGGTGAGTGCATGTGCTGGTGAGTTGCATGTGCTGGTGAGTGCATGTGCTGGTGAGTGCATTGTGCTGGTGAGTGCATGTGCTGGTGAGTGCATGTGCTGGTGAGTGCATGTGCTGGTGAGTGCATGTGCTGGTGAGTGCATGTGCTGGTGAGTGCATGTGCTGGTGAGTGCATGTGCTGGTGAGTGCATGTGCTGGTGAGTGCATGTGCTGGTGAGTGCATGTGCTGGTGAGTGCATGTGCTGGTGAGTGCATGTGCTGGTGAGTGCATGTGCTGGTGAGTGCATGTGCTGGTGAGTGCATGTGCTGGTGAGTGCATGTTGCTGGTGAGTGCATGTGCTGGTGAGTGCATGTGCTGGTGAGTGCATGTGCTGGTGAGTGCATGTGCTGGTGAGTGCATGTGCTGGTGAGTGCATGTGCTGGTGAGTGCATGTGCTGGTGAGTGCATGTGCTGGTGAGTGCATGTGCTGGTGAGTGCATGTGCTGGTGAGTGCATGTGCTGGTGAGTGCATGTGCTGGTGAGTGCATGTGCTGGTGAGTGCATGTGCTGGTGAGTGCATGTGCTGGTGAGTGCATGTGCTGGTGAGTGCATGTGCTGGTGAGTGCATGTGCTGGTGAGTGCATGTGCTGGTGAGTGCATGTGGCTGGTGGAGTGCATGTGCTGGTGAGTGCATGTGCTGGTGAGTGCATGTGCTGGTGAGTGCATGTGCTGGTGAGTGCATGTGCTGGTGAGTGCATGTGCTGGTGAGTGCATGTGCTGGTGAGTGCATGTGCTGTGAGTGCATGTGCTGGTGAGTGCATGTGCTGGTGAGTGCATGTGCTGGTGAGTGCATGTGCTGGTGAGTGCATGTGCTGGTGAGTGCATGTGGCTGGTGAGTGCATGTGCTGGTGAGTGCATGTGCTGGTGAGTGCATGTGCTGGTGAGTGCATGTGCTGGTGAGTGCATGTGCTGGTGAGTGCATGTGCTGGTGAGTGCATGTGCTGGTGAGTGCATGTGCTGGTGAGTGCATGTGCTGGTGAGTGCATGTGCTGGTGAGTGCATGTGCTGGTGAGTGCATGTGCTGGTGAGTGCATGTGCTGGTGAGTGCATGTGCTGGTGAGTGCATGTGCTGGTGAGTGCATGTGCTGGTGAGTGCATGTCTGGTGAGTGCATGTGCTGGTGAGTGCATGTGCTGGTGAGTGCATGTGCTTGGTGAGTGCATGTGCTGGTGAGTGCATGTGCTGGTGAGTGCATGTGCTGGTGGTGCATGTGCTGGTGAGTGCATGTGCTGTGAGTGCATGTGCTGGTGAGTGCATGTGCTGGTGAGTGCATGTGCTGGTGAGTGCATGTGCTGGTGAGTGCATGTGCTGGTGAGTGCATGTGCTGGTGAGTGCATGTGCTGGTGAGTGCATGTGCTGGTGAGTGCATGTGCTGGTGAGTGCATGTGCTGGTGAGTGCATGTGCTGGTGAGTGCATGTGCTGGTGAGTGCATGTGCTGGTGAGTGCATGTGCTGGTGGAGTGCATGTGCTGGTGAGTGCATGTGCTGGTGAGTGCATGTGCTGGTGAGTGCATGTGCTGGTGAGTGCATGTGCTGGTGAGTGCATGTGCTGGTGAGTGCATGTGCTGGTGAGTGCATGTGCTGGTGAGTGCATGTGCTGGTGAGTGCATGTGCTGGTGAGTGCATGTGCTGGTGAGTGCATGTGCTGGTGAGTGCATGTGCTGGTGAGTGCATGTGCTGGTGAGTGCATGTGCTGGTGAGTGCATGTGCTGGTGAGTGCATGTGCTGGTGAGTGCATGTGCTGGTGAGTGCATGTGCTGGTGAGTGCATGTGCTGGTGAGTGCATGTGCTGGTGAGTGCATGTGCTGGTGAGTGCATGTGCTGGTGAGTGCATGTGCTGGTGAGTGCATGTGCTGGTGAGTGCATGTGCTGGTGAGTGCATGTGCTGGTGAGTGCATGTGCTGGTGAGTGCATGTGCTGGTGAGTGCATGTGCTGGTGAGTGCATGTGCTGGTGAGTGCATGTGCTGGTGAGTGCATGTGCTGGTGAGTGCATGTGCTGGTGAGTGCATGTGCTGGTGAGTGCATGTGCTGGTGAGTGCATGTGCTGGTGAGTGCATGTGCTGGTGAGTGCATGTGCTGGTGAGTGCATGTGCTGGTGAGTGCATGTGCTGGTGAGTGCATGTGCTGGTGAGTGCATGTGCTGGTGAGTGCATGTGCTGGTGAGTGCATGTGCTGGTGAGTGCATGTGCTGGTGAGTGCATGTGCTGGTGAGTGCATGTGCTGGTGAGTGCATGTGCTGGTGAGTGCATGTGCTGGTGAGTGCATGTGCTGGTGAGTGCATGTGCTGGTGAGTGCATGTGCTGGTGAGTGCATGTGCTGGTGAGTGCATGTGCTGGTGAGTGCATGTGCTGGTGAGTGCATGTGCTGGTGAGTGCATGTGCTGGTGAGTGCATGTGCTGGTGAGTGCATGTGCTGGTGAGTGCATGTGCTGGTGAGTGCATGTGCTGGTGAGTGCATGTGCTGGTGAGTGCATGTGCTGGTGAGTGCATGTGCTGGTGAGTGCATGTGCTGGTGAGTGCATGTGCTGGTGAGTGCATGTGCTGGTGAGTGCATGTGCTGGTGAGTGCATGTGCTGGTGAGTGCATGTGCTGGTGAGTGCATGTGCTGGTGAGTGCATGTGCTGGTGAGTGCATGTGCTGGTGAGTGCATGTGCTGGTGAGTGCATGTGCTGGTGAGTGCATGTGCTGGTGAGTGCATGTGCTGGTGAGTGCATGTGCTGGTGAGTGCATGTGCTGGTGAGTGCATGTGCTGGTGAGTGCATGTGCTGGTGAGTGCATGTGCTGGTGAGTGCATGTGCTGGTGAGTGCATGTGCTGGTGAGTGCATGTGCTGGTGAGTGCATGTGCTGGTGAGTGCATGTGCTGGTGAGTGCATGTGCTGGTGAGTGCATGTGCTGGTGAGTGCATGTGCTGGTGAGTGCATGTGCTGGTGAGTGCATGTGCTGGTGAGTGCATGTGCTGGTGAGTGCATGTGCTGGTGAGTGCATGTGCTGGTGAGTGCATGTGCTGGTGAGTGCATGTGCTGGTGAGTGCATGTGCTGGTGAGTGCATGTGCTGGTGAGTGCATGTGCTGGTGAGTGCATGTGCTGGTGAGTGCATGTGCTGGTGGTGAGTGCATGTGCTGGTGAGTGCATGTGCTGGTGAGTGCATGTGCTGGTGAGTGCATGTGCTGGTGAGTGCATGTGCTGGTGAGTGCATGTGCTGGTGAGTGCATGTGCTGGTGAGTGCATGTGCTGGTGAGTGCATGTGCTGGTGAGTGCATGTGCTGGTGAGTGCATGTGCTGGTGAGTGCATGTGCTGGTGAGTGCATGTGCTGGTGAGTGCATGTGCTGGTGAGTGCATGTGCTGGTGAGTGCATGTGCTGGTGAGTGCATGTGCTGGTGAGTGCATGTGCTGGTGAGTGCATGTGCTGGTGAGTGCATGTGCTGGTGAGTGCATGTGCTGGTGAGTGCATGTGCTGGTGAGTGCATGTGCTGGTGAGTGCATGTGCTGGTGAGTGCATGTGCTGGTGAGTGCATGTGCTGGTGAGTGCATGTGCTGGTGAGTGCATGTGCTGGTGAGTGCATGTGCTGGTGAGTGCATGTGCTGGTGAGTGCATGTGCTGGTGGAGTGCATGTGCTGGTGAGTGCATGTGCTGGTGAGTGCATGTGCTGGTGAGTGCATGTGCTGGTGAGTGCATGTGCTGGTGAGTGCATGTGCTGGTGAGTGCATGTGCTGGTGAGTGCATGTGCTGGTGAGTGCATGTGCTGGTGAGTGCATGTGCTGGTGAGTGCATGTGCTGGTGAGTGCATGTGCTGGTGAGTGCATGTGCTGGTGAGTGCATGTGCTGGTGAGTGCATGTGCTGGTGAGTGCATGTGCTGGTGAGTGCATGTGCTGGTGAGTGCATGTGCTGGTGAGTGCATGTGCTGGTGAGTGCATGTGCTGGTGAGTGCATGTGCTGGTGAGTGCATGTGCTGGTGAGTGCATGTGCTGGTGAGTGCATGTGCTGGTGAGTGCATGTGCTGGTGAGTGCATGTGCTGGTGAGTGCATGTGCTGGTGAGTGCATGTGCTGGTGAGTGCATGTGCTGGTGAGTGCATGTGCTGGTGAGTGCATGTGCTGGTGAGTGCATGTGCTGGTGAGTGCATGTGCTGGTGAGTGCATGTGCTGGTGAGTGCATGTGCTGGTGAGTGCATGTGCTGGTGAGTGCATGTGCTGGTGAGTGCATGTGCTGGTGAGTGCATGTGCTGGTGAGTGCATGTGCTGGTGAGTGCATGTGCCTCCACGTCTAGTGGCGTGCCCGGCAGCACAAAGTTGGTCACATCTGCTATGTCTGTAGTGGGGACGGTCGGATAGGGGACAGATGAGGTTGAAGTGAGACGGTGGTTTTGAGTTGACTCAAGTACACGTGCCGACAGCACAAAAGTGAGTCTCGTCTGTTATGTCTGGTGGTGTGGGCCAAAGCCGGCAGCATGCGAGAGGAAAACTGAACACGCATAGCTCTTTTGAGGTGCCTCAAGAGGGAAATTGGACACGCATAGTTTCTGTGTTTCCACCCATAGCAAGGCCAGCAGCACTTACGAACGCCAACATCGAAGTTGCCATTGGGGAGAGGCACGCAGTGCAGCGCATCGTCAATGTCCCGGCACCCGATGGGGTCCACACTGAACACAAAATCCCCAGGAAGGCCAGTGCTAACATGCACACCCCCTATGCTCTTCCTTTCACACCAAGACCAGCACCAGCACTTATGAACGCCGACGTCGAAGTTGCCACTGGGGAGCGGCACACAGTGCAGAGCGTCGTCGATATCCCGGCACCCGATGGGGTCCACACTGAACACACGCACGTGCCTCTAGTCGCAATCCTTTGGAGGATTCACATAAACACACAGAACACAACCCCTAGTCTTCCCTTCCACATCAAAGCCAGCACTTACGAACGCCGACGTCGAAGTTGCCATTGGGGAGTGGCACACAGTGCAGAGCATCGTCGATATCCCGGCACCCGATGGGGTCCACACTGAACACACGCACGTGGCGCAGGTCCTCCCTCTTGGTGCGCGGGTCTGTGACGTCTGCAGGAGACACGGACCAGGGGAGCGGCGGCAGGCACGCCAGCACTTGCTGCGAGAAGGGACGCGCATCAATGTCGTTTTCCATTAGCAGCAGCTGTGGGTGGGGAGAAGGTGAAGCGGGGGGGGCACGGGGAGGGTTTTGAGACGTCTCAAAACCCTTCTTCAATCATGAGGCGGGGGGTGCACGGGGAGGTGAAAGAGGGGGGGAGCAAAAGCACAGCCAACGATTGGGAAGGGTTGTGGAGTGTGGGCTTGAAGTGGCACATGCTTCAAGAGAGGCACGGGTCAGTGTCTCCCCCACCACTCTCTGTCTCACCTCGCTCTCTGTCTCACCTCGCTCTCTGTCTCACCTCGCTCTCTGTCTCACCTCGCTCTCTGTCTCACCTCGCTCTCTGTCTCACCTCGCTCTCTGTCTCACCTCGCTCTCTGTCTCCCTGTCGCCAATATACCCCAGCGTCTTCACGTAGTGCCCCGACGGGAACGCACTGTCGGGCTGCCAGCCCCCTTCCCAGCCCATCCCACCCCTTCCCACCCATTCTCACCCTGCTCCCCCCATCCCTTACTTACTGCCAGCCAACCCCTCTCTCACCTCGCTCTCTGTCTCCCTGTCGCCAATATCCCCCAGCGTCTTCACGTAGTGCCCCGAGGGGAACGCGCTGTCGGGCTGCCAGCCCCATTTGAGCCTTGCTAGCCCCTTCCTCTACACCCTACTCATCCCCTGTCCCTCTCTCACCTCGCTCTCTGTCTCCCTGTCTCCAATATCCCCCAGAGTCTTCACGTAGTGCCCCGAGGGGAACGCGCTGTCGGGCTGCCAGCTGTCAATGGCCACCAGGATTCGCTTGCCCATCAGCTGGGCGGCCTGCCTTGTCTCCACGCGGATGCGCGGCACCCTGCGGTCGGCCGCGACGAAGAGGGCGCGCACCAATGCTCCCCCTGACGCTGGGGGCGTGCGCATGGGGGCGAGGGATCCTGCATAGCTGGGGGAAAGTGTGGAGGGGAGCGGTTGGCATGGGGGGTTGGGGGGGTTGGGGAGGGAAAGAAGCAGGGGAGAGGGGGCAGGGGAAGTGGGAGTTGAGAGAGTGTGCAGGAGAGCAGGAGGGAGGGAGGTTGGGGTGTGCATGGGTGGGCGGATGCGCGCACCCTGCGGTCGGCAGCGACGAAAAGGGCGCGCACCAACGCCCCTGCTGATGCTGGGGGCGTGCGCATGGGGGCGAAACGGCTGGGAGGAGTGAGAGTTGAGACACGAGGCAACCCACGGTTGGCAGTGACAAAGAGAGCTCGCACCAATGCCCCTGCTGACGATGGTGGCATGCGCATGGGGGCCAGTGAACCCGCATGGCTGGAAGGGGGGAGAGAAAGGCGGAGGGAAAGTGGCATGGAGAGGAGAGAGGGGAGGGGAGAGTGAGATTTGAGTCACAAGGCAATCTGCGGTTGGCAGTGACGTAGATGGCGGTGACAAGGTGACGTACACCAGCGCCTGGCGGCGAGGGGACCTGCATAGCTGGGGGACAAGGTGGGAGAAGAAGAGGGGGGGAGGAAGGGTGGGGCGAGGAGAGGGGGGGGGGTAGCAGGGGAGAGGGGACAAGGAGGAGTGAGAGCTGAGTCACGAGGCGCCCTGCAGCTGGCAGCGACAAAAGAGGCAACTTCAGGGATACACTACTCACGTGCGCGAAAAAGTTGCCACTTTGTCTAGAAGCATCTTCAAGGAAGACATTTTGAGGAAGGAAGCACAGGTCACATGCTCTTGTCTTCCTCCCCCCCCCACGAAGCATCATGTTTCTGGTTCTCAAGTTGCCTCATTGGGAAGAGGCAGCTCCAGGGAGACGATTGCAAGGAAGAGCATGTGAGGCAGCACCTCACATGCTCCCGTCTCTCCCCACCTCCCCCTACCCGTCACACACACTCACGTGCGCCAGTTGCGCTTGATTATCCCCACCACCCGCCCCGTTGGCCTTGCCAGTTCTGACGGCCCCTTTCTCTCTTCTCCCCCTCCCCCGTCCTTCCCCCCTCCTCCGCCACCCCCCTCCCCCTTGCCGTCCCCCTCCTTATCCAGGGAGAGCGCAGCAGCAGCAGAGGAGAGAGTGGAAGGCGCATCGTCTGCCGAGGCGGGGGGCAGACCCACTGAGTCCTCCTCGCCCTGCTCCTCCGCTGTAACGATACACGAGAGGAATGGGTATGGGGGAGGGCAAAGAGGAGCGGGAGGGAAAAGGGGGAAGAGCGAGGAGGGAGGCACTGAGGAAAGCTGGAGAATGACAAGGGAGAAAGGGAAGAACGTCGGGTTTGTTTGCCTTCTGCGGGCTAGAAAAACTTACACACAAGTGCGACAGCTGAAGACGAGTGCATCCGATAAACAAATTTTACAAGAACCCCATCCAAGGTGTTGAGTCGACTCAAAAGTCATCTCCTCGTCAACAGCGTCATGGTCGTCCTCTCTCTCCCTCAGCGCCCCGCTAGTCGGATCCCTCCACTGCTCCCGCGGCAGCAGCTCCACCGCCACCACATCACCATCCACACTTTCTTTAGGCGCCTCTAATGAGAAACAGACTCACCAGCAGCTTCATCGTGATCATCTTCTCTCTCCCTCAGTGCGCCACTGGTGAGTTCCTTCCACTGATCCCGCAGCAGCAGCTCCACCTTTTTGAGTCGCCTAAAAATCCACCCATCCCACCCTCCTTTTCTCCCTTGCCCGCCACTCACCAGCAGCATCATCATGGTCGTCTTCTCTCTCCCTCAGCGCCCCACTGGTCGGTTCCTTCCACTGATCCCTCGATAGCAGCTCCACCGCCACCACATCACCATCCACACTTTCTTGGGGCGTCTCTAAGGAAAAGCAGACTCACCAGCAGCATCGTCATGGTCGTCCTCCCTCTCCCTCAGCGCGCCACTCGTCGGCTCCTTCCACTGATCCCGCGGCAGCAGCTCCACCGCCACCACATCGCCGTCCACGGCGCGGTTCATATCGCATCTGCCTATAACGAGGATCTCGTCCCCCAGCGACTCGGACCCCACAAACGCCTCGAAGCAGTTGTAGCGGCTCACGCGCAGCTTGCCCTGATGGTACAGCCCCCGCTGCAACCCCGCTGTTATGGCTGACATGGGCTTGTGCTGGGGGTGGTAGGACAGTGGGAACATCAGGGTACAGGACAGGGAAAGGAACGGTGTTGAGGTGAGGAGTCGAGGCAGTTGTAGCGGCTCACGCGCAGCTTGCCCTGATGGTACAGGCCCCGCTGCAACCCCGCTGTTATGGCTGACATGGGCTTGTGCTGGGGGTGGTAGGACAGTGGGAACATCAGGGTACAGGACAGGGAAAGGAACAGTGTTGAGGTGAGGAGTCGAGGCAGTTGTAGCGGCTCACGCGCAGCTTGCCCTGATGGTACAGGCCCCGCTGCAGCCCCGCTGTTATGGCTCACATGGGCTTGCGCTGGTGAGATGGGATTTGAGAAACATCAGGAGAATGGAGTGGTTGGCGGCAGTACAGTTGCAGCAGCTCAGCCTCTAGCTTGCCCTGGCGGTGGCACACCACATTATACCACATCACACACCGCACCACACCACACCACACCACACCACACTGCACCACATCACACCGCACCACATCACACCACATCACATCACATCCATCCCGATTAGTCGACACCCACCCCAAAACTCACATCAGAGTAGATTCTCTTCCTCTTGCTGCGAGACAAATTCGTCCGAAGCCCTCGGTTCTCCTCCTCCCTCGCCGCCTTATCCCCCTCCCCTCCTGCTCCTCCCTCCCCTCCCTCGCCCTCCTCCCCATCCCCCGCGCTAACCACCAAATCCATAAGCTCCACACTCCCTAGCAATGCCACATACTCTCGCACTCTCATGGCCTTTGTGCCGCCCGCCACCGCCTTTGCCAGGTTGGCTTTATCGTCTGTTATGAGCACGACCGGCACTTTGCCGCCCAGGTGCTGCTGGTACCACTGCGCTGCCACCCGGATGGCTGCAAGGGACGAGGTGAGAGAGAGGCGGGGGGTTGGGGAACCTCTGAGTCGACTTAAGAGTCGGCACTTTGCCGCCCAGATGCTGCTCATACCACTCCACTGCTACCCGAATGGCTGCAAGGGACGAGGTGAGAGAGGCGGGGGGTTGGAAAAGGAAAGAAGGGTAAGCGAGGAGGGGAAGGTGGAATGGACAAAAGACAGGGTGTGTGAGACAAATGCGAAATGAGTAGAGAGAGGGCATAGCGAGACTGGAGAAGAATAGTGAAGGGAGAAAAAGGGGAGGGGAAGGAGAGAAGGAAACAGTAGGTCAATTATTAGAAATTCTCAAAAGGCTCTCACAAGAGTTGCGCTCTTGCAGCTGTGATGCTCTCCTTGTAAGAGCTGCATTGCATCTCACCTCTGTCGTTCCTGTCATTGGGACTTTCCCCTGGCTCTGCCTTGATGTACGTGTCCCTGATTGTGTGCCGCATATGTGGTAGCCACGCACGCCATGGGGAGGGGCATGGGGAACGGGGGAAGGGGGAAGGGGGAAGGGGGCGGGAGAGAGAGGAACAAAAAGGAAACGAGGATATTGGCAGAGGAATGTTAAGGAAATGCAAGGAAGCAAACCATGACTAGAGGGGAGGATGGAAATAGCGGTGGTAAGTTACAAGCCAAAAGAGCGGGAAAGAAGGCGGGGAGGTTGAGTGGAAAGAGAGGGTAGGCCCGATGGTGAGCTAAGTGGAGAGAGAGGGAAGAACAGCACGCTCACACTTTATTGTGGTGCTTCGTCTGGTGCGAGTGCACACTTACTTGTGGTGCTCTCGTTGGAGAAGACGAAGAAGCGGCGTGACTCCTCCCTCCGCCACGAGCGCCCTGACCCTGCCATGCTGTGCCCGCCACTCTGCCGCTCCTCTTCTGACTCGCCTCACAACACGACTGCAAGCGCTCGCTCGCTCACTTGTGGTGCTGCTCGTTGGAGTGTCTGCCTGCTTGCCACACTGCCACTCACTTGTGGTGCTCATTGGAGAAGACGAAGAAGCGGCGTGACTCCTCAGCCACAAGCGCCCTGAGCCGGCCATACACCGCCACCTTGCGACTCTTCACCTCCTCCAGCACCACTTTTGAGGCGCCCCAAAACTCTTCTGACTCGCCTCGCAACAGGACATCAAGTGCCCACTCACTTGTGGTGCTCGTTGGAATGTTTGCCTGCTTGCCACACTGCCACTCACTTGTGGTGCTCATTAGAGAAAACGAAGAAGCGGCGTGACTCCTCCGCCACGAGCGCCCTGAGGCGCCCATACACCGCCACGTTGCGACTCTTCACCTCCTCCAGCACCACCGACAGCACCACCACGTTGCTGATCGCCGCATTCTCCAACAGGTCGATCTGAAAGGCATGCGTGATGAGGAAGGCGATAGGGGTTGAATTGGGGGATCGCGAGGGGAGAAGTGAAGTGCCCGTGAAATGGGGCTGTGAAAAACGTTCGCCTCCTCCAGCAACACCGACAGCTCCACCACGTTGCTGATCGCCACGTTCTCTAACAGGTCAATCTGGGAGGCACGCGTGGTGCAGTGGGTGGGGTGGGGACATGGCGTTAGGGGTTCATGTGGGTATGGGAATGTGGGGATATGGCACCAACTTCACCTCCTCCACCACCACGTTGCTGATCGCTGCATTCTCCAACAAGTCGATCTGCGAGGCATGGATGGTGACGGGGAACGGGATATGGCGGTTGTGGGGATATGGGGATACGGGGAGGGTTAGGGGGTCATGGGTTATGTGGTTATGGGGATATGGAGTTATGAGGTTTTGTGGTTATGGAGATGAAGGTGGGGATATGGTGTTATAAGGCTATGAGGATATGGGAATGGCAGGGATGACACGGATAGGGTATGGGAGTGGTGTTCCAGCAGGGTCCAGATAAAATGTAATCCCGGCCGCACTGCCTGCATGGTACAGTACTCACCTGGTGCAGGGCGACGTTGGTGTCTATAACGAGGATGGTTTCGTTATTAGGCGAGAGGCGAGCGGATTCTTTGTCGCAGGCGGTGGCGGGCGACTTGGCGCAGGGCAGCGCGCCACAGGGAATGTCGTCGCGCAGGTAATGTTCGCGCACCACCTGACGCCGCCAGCGATTCAGGCAGGAAAGGGTGGAGTAATGAAGTGGAGGGATGCAAATTCAACAATTTAGGGTTGATTTAGTCAGATGTGCATCTGTGGATCTCAAGTAATCATTTCAAACTCATTTTTGAGTCCACTGATAAGTGCTTGAAAATTCTCGCGCGGAAGCGCGATGCTTTCGCTTCCACACAAACCCTGAACCTCGTACCCTGAAACCCTTAAATCCAAAATCCTTGACTCTAAAACCGGTTCCATCTCATCTACCTAAAAAATCACTCGCTCCGAACAAAACGAGTCGTTGCTCCGCTATTGAGAATACATTTCTGCAGGAACGTTTCTAATCTCTTGCAAGCAATGCCAGAATGCAGATTACGGAGCTCATCACACAAATCCTGGTAATACCCTACGCCGCGGCTCTGGAGATTCAAAGCGACTAACAACGTTAAGCTAGAAACGCATCCACTTCGCACCCGCTGTATGGCTCCTTTGCGCGTCTTGCGAACGAACTGTTTCTGATGAAGCATCGTGACGAGGAGTTTCCAACTCGCCCAGGCAGTAGGTGTTTCACTGCGGGTGGGACCACCGTGGTAGCAACAGAAACGGTAACGAGCGCAGAAGTCGATTACTTGAGAAGGAACGCAGGGAACGGAGAGATGCGCTGTGCGGAGCGCCGAGGAGTAAGAATTTTGGTGTCATGCTTTTGTGCGTCATGTTCTGTTCGAAAGCAGTAATGTAGGAGAACCATGTTAGACCGTGAAGGAACCAATAGGACCGCATGCGACGGGCCTGAAAACAAGCGTGCTGGGGCATCAGTTCACTACTCTTTACAGAGTGATTCGTTTCCCTGGAGATCTCGTAGGAAACAGTGATTGAGAATACATTTCGGATTCCGCTTATTCATTGCTATAAAATGACAAGCAGCGAATCAGGCACCCAATCTCCGTGTGCACAAATGATCAGTCGGGCTGACAAAGATGTGACTTGTCAGGGGAATTGACGGCTAAGATTGACTAAGAAAGAGACCGAGATTTTGGACGAACCAGATGACTGCGTATCAGGCGGGAAACTCTAATGTGGCAGGCCTTCCGCTTCGCAGGCTCGCCACCAGGCCTGATTTTCAGGGGTCTCATGCGGTGAAATCGATGTCAAAGCGGGGACAATCGATTCCGAGGCAAGGCTTCAGCTTTGAATCTGTTGGTTAGGTGGACAGTCCCTGAGCTTTCGGGCTTGTCGCAACTGCCCAGATCCAAGCCTTTCTGATGGGACATTGGCCAACCCTACAGGACCAGACCTGTTCGGTGATGCTTGGCTGACAATGACTTCATGAGTTCCTGATTTCTGAGATGCTGCTGCTGTCTTGCAAGATTCAGGTTTCAGAAAGCCAGCCTAGAAGTTTGCCTATCAAACAATACCTACTTCACTAGTTTCCCAGCTGGATCCGCGTTTCCTTGGTTCCATGTTCGTGGAACCTTGTTCATAGATGTCTGCAGTTTAGATTACGCTTCCCGTTTTCTGAAATTTCGGTGGGTTAGACTATTGTGGACGCTAGCTACTCGACTAGCGTAGTAGTTCGGAATGGAGCCGGAAAGAGGTGGATCCGGGAGAGGCACAGATGGTCAGCAACAAGTCCTCGAGATGTCCGCCGTTGATCTTCATGGTGACGAGGAGTAAGTGCTGACGTGGAAGATAGTCGACATTCTACTCATAGTGCATTAGATTCGTTAGTACTGTTCATTCCTAGTTACAACGCAGTTCAGATAGTCGCTGATTGACGCGATCAGAAAACCCCATTCCTGTCATTTCTATATCGAATTGGTTCATGATGATCCTTGCTATCTACTTTCTTCGACATTCTCGATTTATCGTCTTCAGCAGATCAATGGAACATGGACAGCAAGAGGATGAGCCTGCACCTGTCAGTGCTGTTAGGGAGAGAGACTCTAAGCTCGAGCTTTTCGAGAGCGACCCTCTGGTCGATGCTGTCGGCGTAAGAAGGTACAAGCAACCTCACCACAATTCTTCCATTCGCATTCCCCTCTTATTCGCCATTTCATGCGAATGTGTTATCAAATCCTGGCTAATGGTCTTTGACCGGTACGTGCAGGATGGCTGGTGAGCATCCCATGAGTCCTCGTGACGGCGATGAGATGCACGTTCATCGAGGTTCCGACAGGGTACGTTCATTCCACAGTCGTAAGTCGACACGCATTTCTGGGTTGAAAACTTTCGAATCAGATCGGCTTTTATTAGACATGAGTCACATATAATGCATAACCTGTTTTGGAATGTAATGTGGCTGAACGCACCTGATCGCGTCTGGTCTTGTGCAGAACATGAAAGTAGCAAAGCTGGGTACACTGACCGGCGTGTACATCCCGTGCGTTCAAAACATCCTCGGAATCATCTTCTACATTCGTCTCTCCTGGTACGTACAACGAACAGGTTACTGCCGTTCCCGTTGTTGCTCCTAGTGCCACGAAATCAACCATCATGTCGCTCACTTCATATTCTACCCCACGTACCAGCTTTTATCTCACCGTCATTCTCTGATCGCCTGACGCACGACTTCCGCTCACACCCGTATTTCCGTCGCTGTCGCGCTTGGACATTGCCAGGATTGTGGGTATTGCGGGAATTGGGCAGAGCCTGGTGCTGGTTGCGCAGACGTGCCTCAGCACAGTCCTCACGGGCTTATCCCTCTCTGCCATTGCCACCAACGGCGCCATGAAGGTGAGCACCGTCCCCTTCACAAGTGTATTTTGCGGATCCTGGGACTTGCGGGTCAGCGCACACATATCACACCAGCGTGATCACGGATCATGCGGAAAATATCTTAGCCTAGATTAGTCCAAGAATTCGGAAGCACTTGGAACAGTTCTAATGGGGAGGGGTATAGAGAAGAGAACCTGTGCGCGCTCTGCTGTCTCACGCCGCTCAGTCGGTTTTTGGTGCTGGCGTCTAGGTTCCGATGAGGATTGGAGATCCCTTTCTGAGTCTTAATGTTTTGCACGTTGCGTGCTGCAGGGAGGCGGCCCTTACTACCTGATAGGGCGAGCGCTAGGGCCTGAGGTGGGAGTGAGCATAGGGCTGTGCTTCTTCCTCGGCAATGCAGTCGCTGGCTCCCTGTAAGTGCTCCCCGCAGCCGCTCCGTCAGCCACTGTTATTTGACCTCCGTACAGTTGTACATTCTAGAATCAGGTATCCGCAAGGCTGACTCCTCGTTTCGAACTGCCTGTCTCAACCCTCCATACTCTCCCATCGACCTACTGCACCGCCCCCCCTCTTCGCCCTCTCCACGGCGTGTTCAGATACATTCTTGGTGCGGTCGAAACGCTGCTGGATTGGCTCCCCCAGATGTCCCTCTTTCCACGTGAGTTTGGTCCGCCCATCCCCTCCACCTGCCCACCCACTCGTCTAACAACCCTTCTCCCTTCCCACTCGTCTCCTTCCCACTCGATCTCGTTCCCCGTATGCCCTGTATCATCCTGGACAGACGTGTCTGCGGCCTTATCTCTCGTCCTTTCCCCATGCGCACTCTGTCCTCCCTCATGCCCTGTAATCCCTCACGGGGCGCAGCGGAGCAGGTGACGTTTGGCGTGAACTCAACAACCAACTCGACGGTGGAGCTGGCGTCAACGGCGGACATGCAGGTGTACGGAGTCATCGTCACCGTCGCGCTGTGCATCGTGGTGCTGGGGGGCGTGCGCGTGGTCGTGCGCGTGGGGCCGCTCTTCCTCATCCCCTCCATCCTCGCCATCATCTGCATCTTCATCGGAATCATCGTTGCTCCCCGCAGCGGCAGCCCAGGTAAGACTGCTAGCCTCCTTGTTTTGAGTCGACTCAAGAATCGCTCTTCCTCATCCCCCCCATCCTCGCCATCATCTGCACCTTCATCGGAATCATCGTTGCTCCCCGCAGCGGCAGCCCAAGTAAGACTGCTAGCCTCCTTGTTTTGAGTCGACTCAAGAATCGCTCTTCCTCATCTCCCCCATCCTCGCCATCATCTGCATCTTCACCGGAATCATCGTTGCTCCCCGCAGCGGCAGCCCAGGTACGGTAGCCAGCCTCCTTGTCTTTAGTCAACTCGAAAATCGTTCTTCCCCATCCCCTCCATCCTCTTCCTCTTCTCACGTCCTTCCCCCAATCTCTCTTTCCCAAACATCCCTACCCTATCTCTCTTCCTTTCACGTCCCTCCTCCTCCCTCCCTCCCTCCCCTCCCTCCCTCCCCTCCCTCGCTCTCGTCCACCCTTTGCCCCCTGCCAGTCAGCTACTGGGTCTTTTCTACCCTGCGGTCACGGGCATAATGGCGGGCAGCAACCGGTCGGCATCGCTCAAGGACACACAGAAGTCCATCCCCATCGGCACCCTGTGGGCCATCGGCACCACCACGCTGCTCTACGTGTTTGCAGTCTTCATGTTCGGCTCTGTGGCGCTAAGGGACCTGCTGCTCACTGACCGGTGAGGGGCGAAGGAGGAGGGGGGCAAGGGAAGGAAGGGGGTTGGGTGGGGAGTGGAAGGGGTCTCGAAGGGGTGTGAAGGGGGTTGGACGGGGATGCTTTGTCCATCGGCACCACCACGCTGCTCTTCGTGTTTGTTCTCTTCATGTCTGGCTCTGTGGCGCTCAGAGACCTGCTGCTCACTGACCGGTGAGGGAGGAGGGAGGAGGGGGGTGGGGGGGAGCAGAAGGTGAGGTTAAGAAGGAAGTGGAAGGGTGTGTGCTCTGGGCCAATGACAACACTACGGTGCTCCGCGTTCTTGCTGCCTACGTGTTTGGATTTGCAAATCCAGTAAGCTTCCTGCTCAATGACTGGACGGGAGGGGAGAGGGGATAAGGGTGGTTGATGCGAGTGGGGGAAGTGGGAGAGAGAAAGAGCATGTGTTGTGACTGATTGGTGGGACGACGAGAAGGGACACGGCCTTAGGGTTCTGGGTAGGGTGCCATAAGCAGTTGTGCTCAGCAACCCAACCCGTTGCCAGGAAGGGAGAGACGAGAAAGGAAGGCGGGATGATTGAGCGTCAGTAGAGAAGGGTCCGTGTGCTCTCAACCAATAATCTCGTCTCCCTTTTCTCTCCTCTTCTCCTCCTCCCTCGTCTTCCTCTCCCCTCTCCGCTTTCCCCCCTCCTCCCCTGCGTGGCTGCTCACTGCCACTCCGTAAATCGGCATCATCCTTTCCACCCTTGGCGCCTACTTCAACCACACCTAAATATACGTTCCCTGCCGCCCTCCCTCCCATTCCCTGCCTGGCTGCTCACAGCCACGGTGGCATGGCCGTCCCCAGCAGTGGTGTACATCGGCATCATCATTTCAACCCTCGGCCCCTACTTCGGACACACTGATAAATATACCCTTCCCGTCCCGTCCTCCCTCCCATTCCCCTCCAGGCTGCTCACGGCCACCCTGGCATGGCCGTCCCCGGCAGTGGTGTACATCGGCATCATCCTCTCCACGCTTGGCGCCGCCATGCAGAACCTCATGAGCGCACCACGTCTGCTCACAGCCATCGCCAATGACGACATTCTCCCCATCCTGGACTGGTTCAAAACGGAGGACAACCAGGAGCCATACCTCGCCACGCTCTGCACGCTACTCATCTGCGCCGGCTTCGTGTGCATTGGAGATGTGGACTATGTCACGCCGGTGATCACCATGTTCTTCCTGCTGTGCTATCTCGGGGTGAACCTCTCCTGCTTCCTGCTGGATCTGTTGGATGCGCCGTCGTGGCGCCCGAGGTGGAAGTGGCACCACACGCTCACCGCCCTCGCTGGCGCCGTCCTTTGCGTTAGTAAGTTTTGAGACGTCCCAAAAGTCTATCTCGGGGTGAACCTCTCCTGCTTCCTGCTGGATCTGCTCGATGCGCCGTCGTGGCGTCCGAGGTGGACGTGGCACCACACGCTGACTGCCCTCGTAGGAGCGGTCCTTTGCGTTAGTAAGAACCTATTGTTTCGGGAGGGCGGGAGGAGAGGGGTATTTTTTGTTCTTGTTTCTGCGTTTTTGCGGCATTAATCCTCCTGGAAGATAACCCCGCTTGTCAGCTGCTATCCTCTTTCCCATGTGCGCTTGTTGCCCTCCCATCACCTGCTCGTGTGATGAAACAATTGATTCCTCTCCCTTCTCTCCACCCTTGCACCAACCCCTCCCGCACCTCTTACGCTATCCCCCCCTCACATGCTCCCTCTCTCCCTTTCCCTGTGCCCCCCCCTGCAGCGATCACGTTCATGATATCGTGGTTCTCGCTACTGTGCCTGCTGCTAGCCATGCGATTCATCAAGAGCATCAAAGATCTCTCCTTCCCCCCCTTCTCCCCCTGGTGCCCCCCCTGCAGCGATCATGTTTTGAGACGTCTCAAAACACTCCTCCCTTTTCCCCCTGGTGCCCCCCCTGCAGCGATCATTCATGATATCGTGGTTCTTCACGCTGCTGTGTCTGCTGCTAGCGGTGCTCATCTACTACTACGTCAGCCTCAAGGGCAAGGCCGGCGACTGGGGCGACGGCTTCAAGTCTGCCTACCTGCAGCTCGCCCTGCGCTCCCTCAAGTTCCTTGGAGGTATGAGTCTAGGCTAGGCTGTGCATACACTCAACGAATTTATGGTGTAGAAAGGCCCTGACAACTGTAAGGCCATCTATATGTTCCTTTTCTTTTTATCCTCTGGTGTCTTCTTGACTTTTGCCCCTTCCCCGTTGCTTCCCCCGAGGCAATTTGTCTTGAGACTGATCCCCCCCACCCGCACTCTCTCCCCACCTTCTCAAACGGGTCTTTGTATTATATCAGCCATGGGTACATGCAAACGGGCAGAGCCAGAGCCAAATAGCTGCAAAATAGCTACAACAATCCCTGCTCCCCAACCGCACTCTCTCCCCACCTTCTCTGTCTCCCCGCTTTCTCTCCCCACACTCTTCTTCCGCCCTCTCTCCCGCATACAGCGAGTCAGGTGCATCCCGAGAACTGGTACCCATCCCGCTCATTTTCTGCAAGCTCTGGGACATTGTGTCTTGGAACTGACCCTCTCCATCCGCACTCTCCCCCCTCCTAACCCATCCACCTTCTGTCCTCCCCGCGCTCTCTCCCTTCCCTCGTTCCCTGCCTGCTCTCCCTCCCCCCTGCAGCGAGTCAGGTGCATCCCAAGAACTGGTACCCCATCCCGCTCATCTTCTGCAAGCCCTGGGGCATCCTACCTCCCGACATGCCATGCCATCCGAAGCTTGCTGACTTTGCCAACTGCATGAAGAAGAAGGGGCGCGGAATGACCATCTTTGCCACCATCCTCGAAGGCCGCTTCAGGTGCGTTCATGCCTGAATGGGGCAAAGTATACTTTTGAGAGGGTGTGGCAGAGGTCATCATTGCCGACTGTCTCATTCAGGGTACTTGCACCGCCTCATCTCCTCATCCCTACCCTCCACCCCTCCTTTTCTCACTCCACTCTCCTTTTCAACCCCACTCCCTGCAAATCGCCCTTCCAACCATGCCTTCTCGCCCACTTGACCAGGGACCGGGCAGAGGATGCACGGTCAGCGAGCCACCTGCTGCTGAGCTACATTGACTACAAGCGCTGTGAGGGGGTGGCAGAGGCCATCGTGGCTGACTCGCTCAACGAGGGATTCCGCATCGCAGTGCAAACCATGGGGCTGGCGAATCTCAAGCCCAACATCGTGTGCATGCGCTACCCTGAGATCTGGCGCGAAGACATCCAGAGGTGAGGCGAGAGGTGAAGTAAGAGGTGAGAAGTCTGGTCTGAGGCATGTCCCAAAGGATTCAGCATTGCCGTGCAGACCATGGGCCTCGCGAATCTCAAGCCCAACATTGTGTGCATGCGCTACCCTGAGATCTGGCGCGAAGACATCCAAAGGTGAGGAGCTTTTTTTAGAGTCATTTTTTTCGTTTTTCAGGCGTTTGGGGAGAGAAAAACATAAACACGAACAAAACAAATCAAATCAAAAATAAATGCAACACAAAAACCCCCAACGTCCAACATCGTTTTGAGTCGACTCAAAACTAGGCCCAACGTCCAACATCGTGCGCATGTGTTACCCTGAGATCTGGCCAAAGACATTTGGAGGGCAGGTTACATGCGAGGATTTCCGTGGAAAAGGGAACCAGAAATCAACGTCAAGCCCCTCCTCCTCCTCCTCCCCTACTGGCGCCTACAGGGACATCCCCGGCACGTTTGTGAACGTCATCAACGACTGCAACACGGCGAACAAGGCGTGTGTGATCGTGAAGGGGCTGGACGAGTGGCCGGGCGAGTACCAGAAGCAGTGCGGCACCATCGACCTCTACTGGATCGTGCGGGATGGAGGCATCATGCTGCTGCTGTCCCAGCTGCTGCGGGCGAAAGAGAGCTTTGAGAACTGCAAGATCCAGGTATGTGTCTCGTGCGTAAATGCCATGTGTTGACTGGTCAGTTGACCCGCAAGCCCATCCTGAAAGGGCGAGAGTACCAGAAGCAGTATGGCACCATCGACCTCCACTGGATCGTGAGGGACGGTGGCATCATGCTGCTGCTGTCCCAGCTTCCGCGGGCGAAAGAGAGCTTTGAGAACTGCAAGATCCAGGTGAGTGACTCATGCATAAGTACCTGTATTTGATGACTCGTCTGCAAGCACGAGGAGGGCACGGAAGCAGAGAACCTGAAGCCGCACGTGAGCAAGCTTAATGACTATTCCCATGTGTTCGCCTGTGCCCCTAGAACCACTAACCTTTGCTCCCTTGCCGCCCGTACTGCCCCTGCACTCCTCTGCGCGCGTCTGCAGGTGTTCTGCATTGCAGAGGAACACTGGAGCGGAGAACCTGAAGCTGGACTTGAGCAATGGAATGACTGTATTGAATGTTGCTTATGCACGAATAACCACTGTCACTTCTCCCCTTCCACCGCTGGACGCCTGCAGGTGTTCTGCATTGCGGAGGAGGACACAGGCGCGGAGAACCTGAAGCTGGACGTGAGCAAGTTCCTGTACGACATGCGCATGCAGGCTGACGTCATTGTCGTCACCATGAAGGCGTGGGAAGACGTCGTGTCCGATGCTGAGGGCGCAGAGGCAGAGCTCGCCCGGCAAGGCGCCATGGAGGCTTTCACTCGGGTGAGTGGGAGTGTGCCATGCAGGGTTCTTCAGGGAAATGGTTGCAGATTGCAGCCAGGCATGCAGGCACCTGTGAGGGTGAGTGGTACGGTGGTGCACCTTGCCTTGCATTCACAGTCATGGTGGAAAGTCTGCGGTGCTGGGGTTGGTTATCACCATGAAGGCATGGGAGGATGTGGTGTCCGATGCTGATGGCGCTGAGGCAACTTTTGAGTCGACTCAAAAGCCACCCCGATGCTGAGTGCGCTGAGGCAGAGCTCGCCCGGCAAGGCGCCATGGAGGCTTTCACGCACGTGAGTGGGACGAGTGTGCCATGCAGGATAGGCTGTGGGAATGGTCACAGATGCAAACCCTGAGTACAAGCACTGAGTGGGGATTTGGACAAGCCGTTGTGAGGGTGTGTGGGGCTGCAGTGGTACCCTCACCCCACGCACCACTGCACGTTCACCTGTACATTCACAGTCCTGCAAATGGGTGGTGCGTGCTTCAGTGGTGACCGTGAAGGTGTGGCCGGATGTGTGTCAAAGGTTGAAGTGGATGGAGGTTGAACTGGTTAGGCAAGGCATCATGGGGATGTTCGATACGGTGGCTGGTGTTGAGTGGCTAGAGGTGGTAATGATGGTGTGGGCACAAGTCTATGCTGCAGCTACGGCTCTGGATTCATTTTTCTCACTCAAATCTTCATCCCATTCCATCCCATCCCTTCCTACCCCACCCCCTGCCCCACTGCAACCCAACCCCACCCCCAGGCGCGGCGCAACATAGCCCAGAGAATGAGCGAGGACCCCGAGGCTGAGACGCACCACTCGCTGCTGGACGAGAGCAAGGTGAATAAGTTCCTCTACACCACAATCAAGCTCAACTCCATTATTCTGCGGTACTCGCGCATGGCTGCTGTGGTGCTCGTCAGTCTCCCGCCTCCCCCTCAGAACCATCCCCCTTATTGCTACATGGAGTACATGGACTTGCTTGTCAACAACATCCCGCGCTTGCTTATGGTCCGTGGTTACCGCCGGGATGTGGTTACCATCTTCACATGAGTTAGAGCTAGAGATTGTAGTAGGGAACGGAGGTTTCTGTGTTTGTTGTACTTATTCCACGCCCTTGAGCCAGGGCTTAAGAACATACTGATTACTTTTGGATGCATGTACCTCAACATGCCTGGGGGTCTTGTGAGCATTGCTGGATAATGAGATCAAAATTAAAACGGAAGGAAGAAGAACGTATGGTGATGCAGACGTACAGATAAAGAATGCTTGTTGATTTGAGTTTTCCTGAGATATGTCAGAACAGGTGTAACAAACCCGCAAGAAGACAGGTTCCCAATTTTTCCCTTGGACCACGTCTCAGCAATAAAATGTGCACCCACGATGGGACTCGAACCCACAATCCTCTGATTAGAAGTCAGATGCCTTATCCATTAGGCCACGCGGGTACGAAATTGTGATAGACAAGAACATATTAGATTTGTTTTAACTCAGGGCACATCACCTCAAGACACCACTAGACTGGCGAGGGACCATGGATTTGGACGCCGTGGACTACGGAGAGGACTGGCGAGATGACGACGTACTTAAGGACCGGGTTGAACGGTCCACAGACGATGCCGAAGCACGAGTGCCGCATTCGGCCCGCGGAGTTCATGGCGATCAGCCAACGGCTAGCTCGAATCAGCGAACCGCACTCGTTGCTCCTCCGTCTGCCATGGATTGTCGCAACTACGACGCCTCGGCTTACGCTGAGCGCGTTTTGCGCGAGCGGAAGCTAGCCGGGAGCGTGATCTACGCTGCGCTGCTCGTTCCGGGTGACCACGTCAGCATGCCAGCTGGAGAGCTGAGGGACGAAACGTGGCCGTCCACGTCAGCAGCGCCGCGGCTCGTCGCATGTGCTTCGAGCAGCGGTCGCGTATCGGTTCACTCGCTGGCTTCGTTAGTCGCCTCGCAGGTACTTTAAATTCCAGGGTCGGCGAAGGAACCCCTATCCTATTCCTAGGAGAGAGGCATTCCCCCCTCCGCGCCTTCCTCGTGTCTCCACCTCCCCTCTCCACAACACCCCCCCCCCCCCCCCCCTTACCTTTTGTCATTTAGTCATCCCAAAACTCTTTTCCCCGCCGCCTCTCTTCCCGCCTCCCCTGTCCCCGCGCATGGCCAGCGCGGCGGCGGGCCTTGGGGGGAGGCGGGGGAGGGGGCGAGGCGCGTGGGGGAGGCGCAGCCCGCAGCAGCGGTGCAGGCGCACAGGGGGGCGGCGTTTGGGCTCAAGACGTGCGCTATGGGGGGACAGCCGCTGCTGTTCAGGTGGGGAGGGGGATCGAGGGTCTAACTTCCAGGCCCTTCATTTCTAGGCCTGCAGAAGAATACAGAAAGCTTATTCTTCTTTCTTCCCATCCTTGGTTCTATTTTCTAGAGTTACAGACAGCTGAATGAATATGTGGCGTGGCGAGTGCTGAAAGTGCTGCTGAAGGCTTGTTTGTGCTGATGTGGCAGCTGCGGGGACGACGGTCGTGTTGCAGGGTGGCGGTGGAGCGACCTCCTCTCATCCAATCCTGCTCAAGGTGAGCCTGCCGCTCAGCTAGTCAGCTCCTTCATAACCTCGTTGCAATTTTTTAGGCGCCTCAAAAATAGTGGCGGTGGAGTGGAGCGACTTTCTCTCGTCCACTCCTGCTCACGGTGAGTCTGCCACTCAACAAGTCAGCTCCTTCACAGGCTTCTTACGACCTTTAACACATGCTAACTCTTACTCGGCTAATCCTAAATCGTTTTTTCACAGCATGCTAGTCTTTCTTCAGGTGTCCAGACCAGAACGAGGCGACTTTGGAGTCGACTCAAAAGTCACCTCTTACTCAGCTATTCTCGATTCTTGTTTTCACAGCATGCTATTTTTCAGGTGTCCAGAACCACATTCCTCTCATCAGGGCGCCACGTGCATGTTCAATGTAGCGCTCACGTACCCAAAATATGCTTGGTAAAAGGTCCACCCCTGCGTTGACCTGGTCAACCCAACCCCACTGCTCCACCCGCAACTCCCCCCACTCCAACTCCCAGCTCCTCAAGTGGCCCCCTGCGTTGACCTGGTCAACCCCCCCACCACGTGGGCTGCTGCAAGGGGCGTGGCAGTGGTGCCAGAGACCAATGCCATTGATGTTGACGAGCAGGTGAGTGTGTGCACACATGGTGCATGGTGCATGGTGCATGGTGCATGGCAATGGTGCATGGTGCATGGTGCATGGTGCATGGTGCATGGTGCATGGTGCATGGCAATGGTGCATGGTGCATGGTGCATGGTGCATGGTGCATGGTGCATGGTGCATGGTGCATGGTGCATGGTGCATGGCAATGGTGCATGGTGCATGGTGCATGGTGCATGGTGCATGGAGCATGGTGCATGGTGCATGGTGCATGGTGCATGGTGCATGGTGCATGGCAATGGTGCATGGCAATGGTGTATGGCAATGGTGCATGGCAATGGTGCATGGTGCATGGTGCATGGTGCATGGTGCATGGCAATGGTGCATGGCAATGGTGCATGGCAATGGTGCATGGCAATGGTGCATGGCAATGGTGCATGGCAATGGTGCATGGCAATGGTGCATGGCAATGGTGCATGGCAATGGTGCATGGCAATGGTGCATGGCAATGGTGCCGGAGACCAACGCCATTGATGTTGACGAGCGGTTGTGCACATGCATGGTGCATGTTCCATGGGGCATGCATGGTGCACGGCGCATTTTGCGGACCGCATGCTGCATTCGCATCCCATCATTGCACACTTCTCTCCCCTCTCTGCACCTCACAAGGCACTTTTTTTTCAGTCTGCACCCCTTCCGTACACCCACCCACCCATTCCTCCCAACTCCTGCAAAACCACTGCAGAGGAACACCATTTACAGTGCAGCAGGCAACGGGTGTGCATACGCATGGGACGTGGTGAGTATAGATGAGATGAGACATGGTGGTTGGGTTAGTAGAGGTTAGAAAGGGGGGGGTTGCTTGGGACTTCTCCTGCTCTGATTCTCTTTGATGCCTCAACACGTGCTGCCTCACTTTCTTGTTTCCACCTCTCGCCCGCTTCCATTTCATACACGTGCTTCGCCTTTCCACCTCTCAACTCGAAAGTCAACTCGCTTCCATTTCATACACGTGCCCCGCCTTTCCACTTCTACACACGCCTATCTCCCCCTTACCTTTTCTGCCTGAAGCGAGGAGATTTTTTAGGCGCCTCAAATCATGCCTTCCTCCCCCTTACTTTCCCTCCCTCTCATGTGCTTTTTCAGGAGTCTCAGAAGCGGGTCGCTGAGTTTAGGGGCCACTCAGACTACCTGCACTGTGTGGTGGCACGGCCGCAGCACCACCAGGTGAGAACAACAGAGCCAGGTGAATATAAGCGCCAGGTGGAAAAAACAGAGCCAGGTAGTATTAGTCATGAACAGCGGATGTGGTCAGGTCAGAAAACAAAAAAGCGGGTGGCGTCGCTACTGCAATAAAACAATAGTTTCAATTGGTCCTTCATCCTTACCTTCTCACAAGCTCGCTTTCCCTCTCTTACCCTCTCCCACACCCCCCCCTCCCGCTCAACCCGTTGACCCTCACTCTCTTCCTCCTCCCTCCCCACCCGCCGCCCCCACTCTCCTCCTCTAACTCTCCTCCTGGCCTACCCCTCACCTTGCCTGGCGACTCACATAGTGACAGGGTCAGAGGGTGGCGTGTGCTGAGTGGGTTGGGTGGCATTGCTTAGATGTTCTATTCTCTACCTCTCCTCTCTCCTGTCCTTTTCGGCCCCCTCCCCCACCCCCATTCTCCCTCATCGCCTGCTACCTCCTCACCCCCTCTCTCCCCCCCCCACTCCCCGTCACCCTCACCCTCTGCTTCCCCTTCCCCTTCCCCGTCCTCATCCCCCTCCCCTACCCCTACCCGTACCCCTACCCCTCCGCTCACCTCAGATAGTGACGGGGTCTGAGGACGGCACATGCCGAGTATGGGGTGGGTGGGGCCGCTGGGCTGGCATGCTGTGATGTGGTGGAATGGGTTGGCGCATGCACATATGTGGTGCAGACATGAGTATGCGTTTGATCCAACTGAAATTCATGTGGACGCAGGCATGGGCATGGATATGGGGAGTGGGCATGTGCATGTGCATGTGCATGTGCATGTGCATGGGCATGGGCATGGGCATGGGATGGTGGGCATGAAATTGAGGTTCTTGGCAGGTTTATTCATCAACATCCCCCGCTGCTCCTTTTCTCTGACCCTCCTACCTGCCGCCTGCCCGACCTCAAGCAATTCTTGTTCTCCCTCTAACAGCCCTTTCATTGTCAACTTAGCTGCCAATTCCATACGTAACCCTTCCTTCCTAGTGGCCTCTCATCTCCCTGTCGTCTCATCCCCCCCAGTCTTCTCCATTCATCCTCACCATCCTCTCAACCTCTCTCCTCCTCCCTCCTCTCATCTCCTCCCACCCCACCCACCAGATTGCCGCACAGCCACCGCAGTGCTGTGTCTCAACCCCTTCACTGCGCGCCAAGCACCCCTCTCCCCCTCTTCGTCCTCCTCCCCCGCCTCGCCTTGGGTCAGCAGTATAGCAACTGACTCCACAACTCCATGGCTGGTGAGTCCTTTTCAGTCGTCTCAAAAGCACCCCTCTCCCCCACCTCCTCCACCTCCTCGCCCTCTTCCTCCCTCTCCTCGCCGTGGGTCAGCAGTGTAGCAGTCGACTCCAAGGCTCCCTGGCTGGTGAGCCATCACTCTCACCCCTCCCATCCCCCTCATCTCTCTCTTCCCCTCATCTCCCGCATCTGCCCTCATCTCTTGCATGTCTCTCATCTCTCACACTCTCTGATCTTGTAACCAAGTGCGCGTCTGAGTCGACTCACACTCATTTCTTCACCTCCTCATCTCTGGTATGCACCTTTTCTCATCGTCCCTTCCCTCCATCCACCTCACTCCCTCCCTCCTTTCCCTTCCCTCCCTTCCCTCCACTGCCTCTGTTGCCGCCCCTTCCGCCGGCTTGCCGCCCGCCCTCTCCTCTGCCACCCCCCCTCTCCTTGCCGCCCGCCCTCTCCTCTGCCGCCCCCCTTCTCCTTGCCGCCTGCCCTCTCCTTTGCTGCCCACAGCTGTGTGGCACAGGCGGCAGCACGGCGTCTCTCTTCTCGCTGCAGGCACCCGCCTCTGCACTGCTGCGTGTGTCTCTTGGCGCGCCAGTGCATGCGGTGGCCATGGGGAGAGATGCGGATGAGGTGAGAGAGACACATGGGGGGCTGAGTAGGTAGGGGACTTGAGGTAGTTAGGATGCCGGTTTGGATGTTTGTTGTGCTTGTGTGTTTGCATCTTCCTTTGTACCACCCCTCAAAGTAATGCAAGGACCATTCGAGACATGGGGGAGGCATGGTGGGTGTCTTTGTGCCCAGTCATAAGGCTCTGCTGCACATGTTTCTGGCCGTACCGGTGCATGCGGTGGCCATGGGGAGAGACGCAGATGACGTGAGAGCTGGGTGAGGCATGGTAGATGTCTTTGTTGTGCCCAGTCATAAGGCTCTGCGGCACATGTTTCTTGGCGCACCAATGCATGCTGTGGCCATCATGAGAGACGCGGCGGATGAGGTGATGGCATGGAGAGGGCGTAAAAGAAGACGAAAGGGTTTCAATTATACTGGTTGGTGCAATTTCAGCTGTCAGTGCTGCTTGAAGGTTCTAATTTGTGGAAGGAGATGGCTACGAAATGTATCCAAATCATTTCTTTAAGCAACAATCCGATCATTACGCAAAGTTGTGCAGCAGCAATCCCAGCTCTAGTCCGACTATTTTTTATTGGTTAACTGGTATTTTTGTTCCATATTTACTAACCATACTACAACCATTGAAAAAAGTCAGACTAGTGCTGGGATTGTTGTTGCACAATCTTGCATAATGATCGTATTGTCGCTTAAAGAAAGGTTCTGGATATATTTCGTTGCCCGTCTCCTTCCACAATATCAGAACATTTCAAAAAAACCGTGACAAGGACCCGAATTACACCAACCTGTATAATCAATTACAGCACTAGTCATCTGGCGCTGCTGCACATGTCTCTGAGCACATTAGTGCATGCGATGGCCATGGGGAGGGACGCAGATGAGGTGAGAGAGATGGGGAGCGCATGGGTGGGACATGGGGGCGGGGCATGGGGGCGGGGCATGGGGGCGGGGCATGGGGGATGTGGCAAGGGCTGTCATGTGCCCAATCGTCTGGCTCTACTGCACGTGTCTTCAGCGCGCCGGTGGTCATGGGGAGAGACGTAGATGAGGTGAGGCATGGGTGGGGCATCAAGTATGATGAGTGAAGCGTGGTGGGCATGGGGAAGGCATGGGGAAGGCAAGTGCGAGCGAGGCATAGGGGAGGCATGGGGGGGGCATGGGGGGGGCATGGGCAAACTATCCATCCCCATGTGTCGCCTTACTGCATGCATCTACCCTTCATCCTTCATATCAACGATTCCACTCGCCTCACCTACCCATCCACCACTCCACCCCTCTTCACCCCCATTTACCCCTTTTCCCCTGCACCAACTCTCCCATCCTCCCGTCTCCTGTTCCCCTTCCCTCTCCCCCCCATCAACACACCTCCCCCTCTCTCTCCCTGCTGGCCACAAGCTACTTGTGGCAGGAGCCAGCGCTGTGTTGACTTGGTTGACTTTTCTTTAGGTGGCTAAAAAATATCTCCCTTTCCCCCGCTCTCCCCCTCCGTTCCCCCCCCCCTGTCTCTCTGTGCATGGCATCAAATACTAGTGGCAGGAGCCAGCGCTGTGTTGACTTGGTTGACTTGGTTGACTTTTCTTTAGGTGGCTAAAAAATATCTCCCTTTCCCCCGCTCTCCCCCTCCGTTCCTCCCCCCTGTCTCTCTGTGCATGGCATCAGATACTAGTGGCAGGAGCCAGCGCTGTGTTGACTTGGTTGACTTGGTTGACTTTTCTTTAGGTGGCTAATAACCTCTTTCCCTCTTCCCTGCTGCCGCCCCTCTCGCTCTTTCTCTCTCTGCATCGCATCAGATACTAGTGGCGGGAGCCAGCGCTGTGTTGACTCGGTTGACTTTTGCCGGCCAGCTCAAGTCACTAACTGCCACGGCCATGCCATCCATCTACTCCCTCCATTCACATTCGCCGTCCCAGGTAACACCTTCCCAGGTAGCACCCTCCCTTCCAGGTGGCAACACCTTATTACAGCAAGGCCCTCTTTCTAGACTTTATCTCCCAGGAATGTGAAATTCCTGTTGGTTAACAGGTTGCCAGAGGTCGATGGAGATTGGCAGAGGTTGGCAGAGGTTGGCAGAGGTTGGCAGAGGTTGGCAGAGGTTGGCGGAGGTTGGGAGATGCGTCTTAACAAGGGGCAGGTGCTCCTTGTTGCGTGAAAGTTGCCTCTGCCTCTCACTGCGTGCTCCCCTCAGCTCCTCCTGTTGGTGTGTCACGAAATCTCTCTGACTTCCTCCCAACCCTACCTCTCCATTTCCACGCTTTCTCTCTCACACTCTCACTCCTCACTCTCTCCTTCTCAATCTTCTCTTCCTCACTGTCCCCCGCATTTCCACTGTGTGCATGATGCCCTATCTCTGACGCTCCTCCCTCGCTCCCTCTCAACCCTGCAGGATTTTTTTTTTAGAAGTCTCAAATGGTCACTGTCCCCCCCGTTTCCACTGTGTGTGCGTGCGATGCCCTATCTCCGACACTCCTCCCTCGCTCCCTCTCAACCCTTTGCTTGCTCTCGTCTTCCCTTGACAGCTGGTGGCAGTGGCAGGGAGAGGGGGGACGGTCGATATAATTACCAGCATTGGCAGTCACCTGGCCACTTTTCAGTGCGCCTGACAGTGAGTGGATAACAGTGTGTTTGGTAATCATTACCCGTTTGAATGTATACGTACATGTCAGGCATGGTAACAGTGAATAGAACTTGGCACAATGTGCCATTAGGCTAACAAGTACCGTAATATCTCATACTATCTGGTTGCCAACATTCGATTCGGTTGCACTATGATTGTACTCTCACTGAATATTACAGCTTGCTCCTGTGCCCCTGCCAAGGCAGCGAGCCTAGCTGCTTTGCTCTCTCCCGCAGCAAAAACTTTTGGATCTTGCCCGTCGCAGTCTTGGGCAGCGCGCCGAAAACAACGCTCTTGGGTGCCATAAAGTGTGGCAGATGCTCTCGGCAAAACAGAATGATATCTTCCTCAGATACCACCTGCCCAGATCCCACCTTCTCAACCCCTCCTGCACTGGCAGCATCAGTTGCACCATCAGTCGCAGCTCCACCGGTAACCGTGTAACCAGGTTTGAGGCCCACAAAGGCACAGGGTGTTTCACCCCATTTATCATCATGTCTAGCCACCACTGCTGCTTCCATCACTGCAGAATGCCGGTACAACACCCCCTCCACAGCAATACTGCTTATATTCTCCCCTCCAGAGATGATTATATCCTTAGAACGGTCTTTAATCTCCACATACCCATCTGGGTGCACCACGGCCAGATCTCCCGAGTGGAACCACCCACCCGCAAACGCAGCAGCTGTCTCCTCCCTCACATGTAAATACCCCCGCATAACTGTATTCCCTCGAAACACCACCTCGCCTATAGTCACACCGTCCATAGGCACGGGCCGGAGCGTCCTATTATCAACCACTGTAGCAGTCTGCAACCCGATGTGCCGCACGCCCTGCCGAGATTTGATTCTCGCGCGGTCGGTCAGGGGAAGAGAGTCCCAGTGGGGTTTCCAGTCACAGAACATAGCCGGGCCATATGTCTCTGTTAATCCATACGAATGGATAACGTCGAAGCCTAGCTGTTCCATTTGAGCCAATATGGCTGCTGGGGGAGGGGCACCACCTGTCAGTACCGTAACCCTCTTGGTAACCCTGTTGCTTATCCTGCTGGTTACCCCATGCTGCTGCTCATTGTTACCCCACCCTATCTGCTCCACCTCCCCTCTTTCCTCTTCGTTCCCTCCTCGCCTCGCTCCCAGCAACGCCTTATCCTCCTCATCAGCATTCACCATCAGATTCAGCACCACCGGCACCCCCACCATCACCTCCACCCCTCTCTCCGCCACCACTGCAAAAATCGCGCGAGCACTCACATTCCTTATAAGCACACCTGTGCCGGAGACAGCCGGCAGCGACCAGCAGAAGCACCACGCGTTGCAATGAAAAAGCGGGACGGAGAGCAGGAACACCGCGTGCGTGCGCAGCTGCACCATAAGTGCGGCGCTTAGCGCGTTTAGGTAAGCGCCGCGGTGGGAGTAGACCACGCCCTTGGGCTGTGCTGACGTGGTGCCTGAGGTGTAATTGATGGCTATTGGGTCCTGCTCGTCCCGTGGTTGGTGCGATGCCCACCAGTCGGAGTTTGCCACGTCAACGACAAGAGGGAGCAATTGCGGTTGTGGAGACAAGGAGTCCTCAATGCTATAAGCAGTATCGGCACTACTGGCACCGATAGCACTCCCACTAGCAGCATCACTACCAGCAGTAGCAGCAGCAGTAGCAGTAGCGGAAGCAGCAAGGCCACTGGCAAGTCGGGAGCCAGTCACAGGCCCAACGCAGGGCACAGCTGCTAACCATTCCTCATACTCCCCCACCGCTCCCAACCCCTCTGTATCCGCCTGCTCGCCACCCGGATCCGCCATGTCAGAAGACGACTGCACTTCATTGTCCTCTATAACCACGATTTTTGGACGGACGTGGGCTGTTTGGGCGGGAGTGGCGGCCGTGGGAAGGAGGGCGAGCGCGGAGAGCGCGAGAGACGCCAAGTGTTGGTCCACTAGGAGAATCTGCAGTGTGGGGAAGAGGGTGGGGGGAGAGTAGGGGGGAGAGGGGGGGAGGGGGGGGGTGAAAGTACGAGAGGGGAAGGGTGTGAGTGTTATGGGTGGGAGAGAAAGAGAGAGAGGGAGGAGGGGGAGAGGGGAGGAGAAATGGAAACGGAGAGACGGCATAGGTAGAAGGAGTGGGGCCACCAAGCAACGACAACAGAGAGAGAAGTGAGCACAAGGAAGCACCGAGGGCGCAGAGAGAGCAGAGGGAGCAGGGGAAGGCTTTACATCGCATTCAAACCGCTTGGCACCACGTGGCACACCTTGCTATCGCTGTGCGCGAGAATGCGCGCGACGGAGGCGGCATCGAGGCGCGCGTTGACGGACACGAGCACGGCGCCCGCGAGCGGCACGCCGAACTGCGCCTCGTACGCCGCGGGCACGTTGGGCGCAAGCACCGCCACGCGCTCGTATCTGCGCGCGCCCGCGCGCTCCAGCGCCGCGGCGAGCTGGCAGCAGCGGAGGAAGGTTTGCGCCCACGTGAAGCGCCGCCGGCCGTAGATCACGGACGGCGAGTCGGGATGGACCCGCGCCGCGCGCTCGAGGAATGTCAGCGGGGTGAGCGGCGCGTAATTCGCCGGCCCTCGCGGCATTGAGGCTTTGTCGAATATGTGCGGTTTAAGGGGAGGCATTGCGACTCAAGATGGCGCGCGCTAAAAGAGAGCGTGGCGCGGTAACAGTACCAGCGTGGAGGCACCAGTAGGTGCGACAGGCCACAGCAATACTAGGCAAAACCAGGTGAGGGAGGCCGCAAAGGGGAGCCGGGTGGTCAATCTAGAAGGCAAAACCAGCATGCGTACACGAAAACAACGGCTGTGCTAGGTGTGTCTACGTTCTATTCGATGCGTGTCTTCAATTTTATGCGTGCCTTGCCTTCCAACCCAATTCTCCGTCTGTGAAGTTGGCGGCGGTGCGGCGACAGCAGTGCGTGAGAATTGCCAAGCGGCAGTTGTGTAGCAAATGTGCAAATCCGCGCTGTGCGCGAATGCACATGTATCTACAGTTCGAATCACAGCTTATTCTCTACGGATGAACCAACTCTTCGCATGTCATGGACATTGATCAATGAACTTTCTAACCTGCAATTTTTCTGAAGCGGCCCACTGGGAAAACCTAAATGAGCATTCTCGTTATATTATTTTCCTATTCCTTTCTACTGCCCCGTACCTTCTCCCCTCATAATATAGCTCTCTAGCTTGCTGGGAGCAGCAGCTGCTGCTGCGCCAGAGACTCTTTCCGCCGCACTAGCTGCCCCCTCACCTCTCTGATGCTCGCCAGAGACCCTTCCCTCCGCCCGTCGTCCCGTCTTTACGTTTCATATCCCGTTTCCATGATATTTGTGAAATAAGGCTCTCCATAGTGAGTCGTCTCTCCGCCATCCCCGTTTCCATGCTCAGCACCCGCCTCAACCCTTCCGCCAGTTCCGCGCTCAGTTCCGCGCGTTCCCGCCTCACCGCGTCAATCTGCGCGCTCTTCAAGCAAATCAGCGCGTCCAAGCACCCCGCCGCGCGGTCCTCCCGCGTTATCCCACGCTCGACCCGCAAAACAGGGGCAGCGGCGCTGGCCGCCGCAGCGACTACCCGCAACCGGTTTTTCTTCTGCTCCGCGGCGGACCACGTGGCTGCGCGGCGGCTGCAGGCGCCGCGTGGCGTGCTGGCACGATTGGCGCCGGTGGGATGATCGTCGACAGAATCACTCAGGCTGAGGCTTATTCTGCGCGCGTCCCGCACATCACGCGGCGGTCCTCCCACCCCTGTCACGGAACCCGTTCCTCGTGGGCTGTTATGATTGGCATGATTGGTGCTGTGCGCGCTACTACTAGACACGGCGTTGGAGTCGGAGAGCCTGTCGAATAGACCGTGACGTGGGTGATAGGACGACGCGTCGGAGGTTCGAGTGGACGAGGTTCGGTAGGACGCGGTTCGGCAGGACGAGGTTCGATACACCTCATCCTCAATCCAGTCACTTTTGTCGCTCTGAATGGGCGTTCTAACCATGGATTCTTGCGGTTTCCGTCGGTGTGATTCCCGAAGCAGCAGCATCGGCAGCACGTCCGAGTCGCCCGCATCTCCGACGACGACTTTCCCGCCGCCTGCGCGGCGACCGAGACTCGCAGTCCGAGTCGGACTCGCCGTTGCGTGTCGTACACATTGAGAGCGACGTTCAAGAACATCCTCTGCGGCCCCGCCGGACTTACAGTCGTCGCGCGCCGTGACAGTAGTAGGACTACGCAACGTCTCAAGGTCTGCCGAAGATCGCGAGAGTCTCATGCGGCGCGCACCGCCGCCTCCAGGCCAAGATATTGAATTCACGATTAAGCCGCCCCTTGACGAGTGGATACCACCCTGCGGTCGATATTCTTCGCGAGGACGCGGGTAGGTGTTCCCGGCGCTACCGCCGCTGCTGCCGTTGCTGCTAGTAGTACAGCTGCTGCTCCTGCGCATCATTCCATTGGTCCTGGATGTGCTCACCGCCACAGCCGCCATGTCGATGCTCGCCCCAGATTTCTGCTCGATTCGAGGAACCCGCGGCTCTACTAGTAGTGCTTCCCATTCCGTCGCAGCATCGTACTCGTCGAAGGGACTCCTGCTGCCAGAATGAATACAGCGACTTGCTGCGAGATTTACCAGGGATGATATCCTGCCGTTCGGGGGAGAGAGCGCGGCTTCCTCCGTCACGCGACGAAGGACGGGCTCGCGGGCGCGTCTGAGCGACCTGGGGGAGGGCTCCGGGGGAGAACAGGGCGATGGCGGATGCCTTCCTGCGCAATATCCCGCGACGTCTGCGCGTGCATGGTGATGAGAGAGGGGTGACTCGTACAAATCGCCCATGTCACTGCGAACGGGAAGGTGAAAGAACGATCGCTCGCACTAGGCGGCTGAAGGACGAGCCATCCGGCTGGTAGGTCTTGTAAGAAGACCCTGATTCTTGGGCGATTAGAATGTGAGCCATCAACTCTTATTCCCCTTTTATTAGACGAGTGGCGAAATTTCTGTTGCGACCAAGTCCTCAGCTACAATCCATTGGGGAAGGTTGCGTTCCATGGATGCTCCAGCTTTGCCTACGTTTTGAGGGGAGGTGGGGGGGGGAAGGAAACAATGTGGTCTGTTGATGCATTTGTTGGGAGAAATTGTGGCGATCTCGCGCCGCGAAAGCAACGGAATGCTACACCTAACCACCGCTATTTTCAAGGGGAAACCCAACCCAATAATCTCGCGTTTCAAAGTTACCCTGCACGTTTTCGACTATTTCAGTTCGACACTTATTTAACTGGGGCTATGAATGATGCCTAATTCTCGAAGTTAAAACTCATTATGCGAATCTGAATCCATAGCGCAATTCTACAGTACTCTCTTCGGGGATCTGGAACAGACTCTCGGTAAAATTTAATGATGCCCCACACAACCCTCGGTCAAAGATTTAGAAAGGGTGCATATCCCACTTGTGCAAGTGGGGTTGAAAATAGACCGAAAGAAAATAGCGGTGGTTAGGTGTACATTCCGTCCGCAGATTTCCCAAGAGGAACCAGCGCATGACGTGTCCGACCTGGACGAAACCAATGAAACGAACCAACGCTGGTCTGCCAGGCTGCGAAGGCTTGCGAGCGAATGGAGGCTGGCTGTGACGACGAGGCACACACCACCAGTTAGCGTTGGAGTTCTGTTACATGTGGACTGGCCATGCTCGCCACGGCATGCCAAGCCTACAGAGTTGTTCCGTGAATAGCTGGTGATTTGTCGTCAACATCATCAACAAAAGAAATATCCTTCTTCGCAAATTCTGTTGTATACACGGTTATTTGCGTGATTCTCTACACTTCCATCAACATGTGTGCGCATCTTTCCTGTCTTCTCTGGCATGGCTCTGAGCTGGACGACATGAATGGTGACAAGGCTCCCAATCTTATCCCAAATGAGATTGGATCACCTCGCGGAGCATTCTCAACAGCGAGGTCGTTACTGTATGACAGCAGCACACACGTGTATGCTGGGTATGCTGGTGTACAAGGTGTACTATTGGTCGTGCTAAAACATACTGTAAATAACAACACACGAGGTGAAGCGAGCTGGTCTTCATCACCGAGCAACAGTCCACCGTACATTTCACAAGCGAAAGAACTTGACACTCGCGGACTGTAGGTGTAAAAGCTACAACTTCTGAACCTCAGCCAGCCAAAAGTAGACCCTCATTTTATATTTTAGCAAGAAAATACTTTCACGCTTCTTTTAGAAGTACAATCAGCTACACGAGCAGTACAAGGCACTTTGTACCTAGTGTGTTCATCTCATTAATCTCTGAGATATCAGACATGTTTCTAATGCTGCTGAGATGCTCCATCTACGTAAAAAGAGATCTAGCTGGTACCCCATCCTCGAAAGTGCAGCATCCTGAAACTCCTGCATTAACCACACCAGCTTTACCTGGCTAGCATGCGTCCTTATCACAACTTCAGCGTGAAGCAAAAATTCTAGGACACCAGAATTACATCCCATAATGCAGTTCATAAGGGCTCCCTAGACTATGTACATACGTCGACAGCGTTATGCTGGAACTGGGAAAGAGCGCGAGCATTTGCTGTTGCAACAGCAGTGCACAACGCCCTGTTGACTGACGGAGGACGACTCTTTCCAAAGGCTCAGCGTGAAGAAGCCAGTGAAACCGTGCTCGAGACCTCTCAAAAGGCCTCAGGGATCTCCGGACCTCACGGCCTCAGGGCCTCAGGGATCTCCGGACCTCACGGCCTCAGGGCCTCAGGGATCTCGGGACCTCACGGCCTCAGGGCCTCAGGGATCTCCGGACCTCACGGCCTCAGGGCCTCAGGGATCTCCGGACCTCACGGCCTCAGGGCCTCAGGGATCTCGGGACCTCACGGCCTCAGGGCCTCAGGGATCTCCGGACCTCACGGCCTCAGGGCCTCAGGGATCTCGGGACCTCACGGCCTCAGGGCCTCAGGGATCTCGGTACCTTTCAATTCGCTTTTGGTACCTCCAGATTTGTGAAGTAATTTCAGGGAACCTCTAGAGACGCGCGCAGGTAACCAGGCACGCGCGGCTCCATCTGACCCGCCAGCAGCAGCGCCGACGTGCGGGCCCACCCACCCAGCTCCTCCGCGCTCCCCCTTCCGCTCATCATCCCCCTTGCGCTTTTCCCCTCTCCGCTCATCCCCCTTGCGCGCATCCGCGCCCCAAGCTCCTCCTTGCTGGTGCTTCTGCTGATGCGACCCGTTTCTCTCCTCCCCCCTTTCCCCATGTAATCCCCACCACCTTTGCCCTCATCCATCCACGTTCCAGGCCCAGGTCTATCTGTGGCGCGCTGCGCCTGTAGCTGCTGTAGCGGCAGCGGCGCGGAGGCCACGCCTGACATCCTCGTGGCGTTGCCTGCGGGCGCGCGCGGCTGCGCCCATGAGTTGAAGGCTTCCTGCAGCTCCTCCGCCAGCATGTTCCGCTCCCCCTCCGCCGTGCGCAACTCGCTCCGTACTTCCGCCAGCTCCTCTTTTCTGTCCTCCAGCAAGCCTGGCCGGGGGTAAGGGGAACCGCAAGGTGAAAAAAGAAAAGAGGGGGGAAATTAGGGGGACGTCGAGGGCAGACGGTACGAGAGAAGGAAGCAGACAGACGGGTGTATAGAGAGGCTCGGCGGAAGGGGCGTGGAAGCGGGGGGTGGGAGCGACGGCGGAGGTGACACAAGAGGCGATCCGCGGATATGACGCATGAAATCACATTCGAACTGCGTACCTTCTAACTGCATCGTTCTCGCCAACGCGCTTCGAGCTCTCTTTTCCGTTTTCTCCAGCGCTTGCGCCATTTCCTGCAGCACGTTCCGCAGTTCCGCTCTCCGCCACGCCGCATCCCCTGCCGGCTTCACTGCCCCCCAGCGCATTCCGCCGCTTCCACGCGACCTCGCTCCCCCGCCTCCCCTGTCCGACGTGGCGTCACTCCCTGAATCCGACGCATCACTCTCGTCGCTGTCCTCGTCGTCGCTAGTACCAGCATCTGCTGCGGGCGCGATCCGCCGAAGAACTGCGAGCTCCCGCGCCGCCGCGTCGCGCGCGATGCGCGTGGCGTCAAGCTGCGCGCGAACCCTCTCCAGCCGCTTCTCCCCTCCCGCCAATTTCGTTTTAAGCACCTCCGCCTCTTTCACGGTCGCTTCCACGCGCTTCTGCCGGTACGCGGCCGTCACGCGGAACGACGAAAGCTGCTGCACCAGCTCGTGCCGCTCCGACAGAACCTCTTGCGCGCGGGACCGTAATACGGCCTCTGTAGCTGCTTTCAACGGTTCTGTTGCCCCGTCGGCATTGCCGCTCTGCTGCTTGTAGTAGTAGCTCGTGAATTCAGCGCGCGTATCGGCTGACGGGTAGCACTGTCGCGGCGGGTAACCCGCTCTCTGCGAAGCCCTTGCGCCGTCGATCATGTCATGCGGCGCGGCGTCGTCGTCGTCGTCGTCGTCGTCGCAGGAGGAGGAGGAGGAGGAGGAATCAGTAATCGATGAAAACACGCGGTGCTGGGAGCTGCTGTTACTAGTACCGACGGGCCGCGCCGGCGCGGGTGCAGCCCCTGCTGAAGAGCGAGCGACGGCGGGGTTCCGCGGATCTGCCGCCGCGAGCGTGTGGAAGCTGTTCCGCCGTCGTGGCGGAAGCCCCGTAGGCTTGCCCTGAACGAGGAGCGGCGATCGCGGTAAGGTGGAATGGTTACTGTCGCCTGCGGAGCGCCTACTGTGCTCGTCAACAGGAGAGAGAGGAGCGGAGCTGTCGCGATTGTTAGAAGGCGAATGGTGGAAAGTCGCGCGCTGCGAGTCTAATAAGAACCCGTCCGAGTTCTGATGGCGATGGCGAGGTCCTTTTCGACTTCGAAACTGATCATCTGGGCGTCGCGTATCGTCTGGAGTGTCTAGCCCAGCAGACAGAAACAAGTTGTGGACGTCGGGAACGGAGCGCACTTTGTGAAGATGACGTGCCATGCTCGCACGCAACTGAGTGGACTGGACTGCAGATTGTAGTGACCCCACTGGTTGTACGCGTATGGGTGGATACGAAATAGTGGTTACGCGGACGAATGCTGCTTGGTCTTCGCGCAGGGAGCGTTTCGTGCGATGGACGCGAGGACCTATGGCGGTTTTGGTGTGGACTGGGCGAGCGAGTGTGGGAGTGAGAGGGTGCTGCTGCTGCGAATGGTGTTGTTGAGTTAGCGCTGGCAAGACGGGATGGACAAATGAAACGGAGTCTGTAAATACAGCGAGGCAGAAGTGTTGCAGCTTTACAATGGTGGAGCAGATGCCAAGTGTGGTGATGCGTGCGCTGGCGGCAGCGAACTTGCCCCGTGCAATCGTTGACGTGCGCAAGGACAAGTCAGATCTGGCGGTGCGTACGTTCTTGGCAGCAGCTAGCTGTGCTGTATGTAGGCTGGGCAGGGCAGGCCTGGTGGCAAATAGTTCCGTTGGTCCCCTTTCCCGAGGCAGAGGGGGAAATGTGGCTTCGCAGGAAAAGGAGGACCACCCCCTGGTTAGGGGGACCAAGCTGGTACAGACTTCCGGCTCGGAACGGAATCATGCTGAACTGTATTAGGAATCTGAGGCGCGGAGCGGAGCGCAGTTTGCGAGGCTGGTTAGGATTTGGCTAGGGCATTACTACTCTGGCACGGAAACAAGGACGTTACGCTTGTCGCAAAACTTCGTGAATGCGGCTCAATGAGGTATTCCTGGGTTCCAGAACAAACAATATGATTCATCAAGGGAATGACGCGGAGAATTTTCGCTATTGGGTAAACGCGGAAGAATCTTCAGCAAATCATTTGTGTGAAATGTATTGGACAAGTCGTGGTGGGCTGCGAAATCTGCGAGATCGTGAAGGGGCAGCAAGAAAACGACGATATATGCATGGAAGCACACCTCTGTATAGCACTTGCAGCAACAGATACTGTGCTGATAAAGATGCCTGAGAACTTTCAAGGGATGTTTTGTGTTAAGCTTCGCCGCTGGAGGGTACCTCCTCAAACATCTCCCCCTCCCAAACTCCGAACCCGTCACCACCATCCCCGAACTTGTGAGAGCCATCACTTCCTTGGTGCACCCACTATCGGTCCCCTGAACACGTCGTTTCTCTAAGATTCAAACACCCGCCTCGTACATTTCGGTGCCAAGCTACAAGAACTGGAAAGCTTCAGTATTATAGGACTCCACTACTCTACCCCTCCAATTCCCCCTCTCCATTCCGCTTCACAGGGTAGTTCGCTGCAGGCCGTGATTTTCTAAAACGGTCCGTGGAATGTAATTCACAAGTGCCAAATCCAAAATCTCCGCAAAATCTTCACGGACACGCCGTTACACATCAAGACAACACTGAGTCCAGTACAGCGAAAGCTCATTAGAGGAGCACCTCCGTTTGGCATAAGAGAATTTCTGTCTAAGTCTGTTTTACCAGACGGAACAGAGCAGGTACACACATAAATTTCGCTTTAAATATACACACCAATTGCCAAGTTCAAGCGATTCTCTTGCACTCTCGCTGACCTACTATCTGCAGATTTTGTATCAACGTTGGGCATGTGCCTGAACAATATAGTCCGACTTGAAAGAAATTAATCGCTAAAAATATAACAAGCTGTAATTGTGCACAGGCGGAACAAACGCCGCCGCCCGCAGACGGGGGTACCGAAATCACGCATGTAGCGTATGGATACATTAGAGGAACATTACCCCTATGGTGAAGGCTGAAAAATGAACGTCCACCATTGAAATGCACTTTTTAACAGGTATCGTAAGACTCTTTTGAGCACAGGGTATAAGGTCATATTATACTTCGTTATTTGTTACTGTTAAGATAGTAGGAGTAGTGAATGCTAGGTTTAAGTGAGGGCCTAGGCTTAGTAGCCTAGGCCAAGGAAGTCGAGGTAGTTTGTGCTAAGGGGAGAGGAGAATGTTGTTGTTCACTATAGCACAAGGGTACATGTAGCAAACAAATGAAGAGTTGCACCACCTACAAAGTTAATAACTACACTACAGCTAGAACTACATGCAGTTATAACAACATAATTCTGACATCCCCCCGTAACTGCATGCAGGAATAGCTAAGTGCAGAACACAACCTGCAGAGGTACACCACAGACAGAGAAAACAGCAACAGCAGGTAAGGCAACAGAGCAGGTACAGCAGCAAAGGGGCAGGCACTCCTGCCCCCCTTTACTCTCCTCCCCCCCCCCCCCCACTGCAGGAGGGGCGGCTGGTTGGTCTCACACCCGCCACCCCAGTGCCACTCCCCTGGCTCCCCCACACCCTCACACCCTCCCCCCCAGCAGCAGCTGCAGCAGTGGGAACGAAAGGAGGAGGAGGGGAAGGGAAACACACCACCCATCACCCCCACACCCGCCACCCCCATACCCTCCCCCCCACGGCTGCAGGGAGACGAAGGAGGAAGGGGCGGGGGGGGGGCGGGGATAAAGCCGCAGAGAGGCTACAGAGGGTCGGCGCGGGTAGGGCAGGGGTGGCTGCAGCGAGTGCAGGCGCGGGGTGAGGTAGAGGCGCCGTCGCGGGCGCCAGGGGCGGGTCCGAAGCGGCTCAGGGCACCGTCGCGGGCGCCAGGGGCGGGTCCGCGGCGGCTCAGGGCACCGTCGCGGGCGCCAGGGGCGGGTCCGCGGCGGCTCAGGGCACCGTCGCGGGCGCCAGGGGCGGGTCCGCGGCGGCTCAAGGCACCGTCGCGGGCGCCAGGGGCGGGTCCGCGGCGGCTCAGGGCACCGTCGCGGGCGCCAGGGGCGGGTCCGCGGCGGCTCAGGGCACTGTCGCGGGCGCCAGGGGCGGGTCCGCGGCGGCTTAGGGCACCGTCGCGGGCGCCAGGGGCGGGTCCGCGGCGGCTCAGGGCACCGTCGCGAGCGCCAGGGGCGGGTGCGCGGCGGCTCAGGGCACCGTCGCGGGCGCCAGGGGCGGGTCCGCGACGGGCAGAAAAAAACGTCACGCGCCACTCGGGCGCGGGACATAACGAAAATCGCCACGCGCCCGAGGCGCGCGACCGGAAAAACAGCAGCGGAAGCGTGAGGCTGGCCCACAGGCCAGGACTTTACAGACTCTAATACCATGTTAAGTGAGGGCCTAGGCTTAGTAGCCTAGGCCAAGGAAGTCGAGGTAGTTTGTGCCAAGGGGAGAGGAGAATGTTGTTGTTCACTATAACACAAGGGTACAAATAGCAGACAAATGAAGAGGTGCACCACCTACAAAGTTAATAACTACACTACAGCTAGAACTACATGCAGTTATAACAACATAATTCTGACAGTTACTGTCTGCGGTGTTTGTAAACATTTTCTCAATGTACTCACCTCATTATGTCTCCCTTTTTAAAATAGCAATTATGTTACTTAAACATTATCAAGGTATGGCATGATAATATTGGTCTCATTCAGGGGATGCGCACTCACGTACTATCGCGCATTCTTGTAGAGTATGCAGTGGTGGGGGGGTAGAAAAATAATATTTGTAGGTTAAAATGCCGAGAATGTTAATCAGCCACTTAAATGTTACGCGAAGCGTCACGAAAAAGAATCGCAATAGGATTAGTACAGTTCCATAAGGAAATGTTTCCCTCCCATATAAATGGCATATATACGCAATGACTGTATCATCCAATTTTTTTACATTCGATATGATAAGGTCGTTCTGTCATAACTCAACAGCACTTATCGTGTCCAATTGTTTCTCGCATTATTGCAATATGTTAGATAAGATTTAAATATTATAAGGTTTCTCACTAGGTCCTATTGTCAGAATGTTATGTTTGTCTAGTCTGCAGTGGGGTACTTTATAGTGAATACAACCTAAATTAGGGTTTGCTATATGTACTGCACTGCTTACTAGTGAAGCCCCCTTTTTTTATGCTTCTAAACTTTCTACTTAACTTTCAACATGCTATCAGAGCAGATCGACCCTCCTGGGTCGATCCTGTGGGTGGGTCCCACCCGATGCTTCCGCTGCTCTACTGCCTGTAACGTGCCCCGGGCGCGTGCTGTTTCCTGCCTGCCGCGCGCTCCAGGCGCGCATCGATTTTTTCTTCCCGCCGCGCGCTCGGGGCGCGCGGCGGTTTTCTGCCCCGTCGAACCGCGCGTCGCCCCCTGCCGACCGTCGCGTCGCCCCCTGTCGCCCGTAGCGGCCCGCGCGACCTGCGCTTGGCCCGCGCGCGGCCCGTACGGGCTGCGCCAGGCCCGCGCGCGGCCCGCACGGGCTGCGCCAGGCCCGTGCGCGGCCCCCCTCTCGTCACCCGCCGTGGCGCCCTCGGGTGGCCCGCGCCCTGCTCCTTCGTGGCGCCCAGGAGACCCACCCGCCGCCTCCCTTCCCCTCCGTTGACCGCCCCTACTGCATCCCGCGCTCCTGCCTGCGTTAGGGTTTGGGGGTGGCGGGTATGGGGGTGCTGTGTGGGTGCTACCCTTCCC